TGGAAGAAAGAAAAGGAGAAAGAAGAGGGGCAAAAAAAAAAAAAAAAAGTATTATGCTGTCATTTTACCAGGTAATATGAAAACACCATTTTTAAATTATAAAACACCAAGATTGTGAAGGCAAATCCCCAAAAATTACAAAGTGGGTAATGTAAAGCTGTCTGTGCTGTTGTTTTTTTCCTGTGGGATTTTTACTTCATTTGCTGTACAGTGGTTGGAGGGTGGGGGTCTTGAATGGTTTGTTAAACGTCACCTGAGGAACCCACTGGCAGAGCAGGGTTAGGGTCACTTTCTTCAGGACTTTTCATTCATCTGAGAATTCTTTCTGCTGTTTTGGCCTTGGTTTTCTTCACTTCTGCAAGAAATGGACTTTGGGTCCTGCAGTGCTGAACGTTCCTGAGTGTCTCACGGGTGTCAGTTCATTCAGGGCAGGGAGGCAGGAGCCCAGTCACAGCCCAGACATTATCTACATGACAAGGTAAAGGACTAGCACAATTGACAGTCACTGTATTGCTTCTGTCAAGCAACTCACCACTTTCTGCAGTGCTTGTGTTGCCCTTAGTTCATTGAACAGCCATGACAGCCCTGGGAGGGAGATGTGCTGCAGTTGTACACTTCAGCATCCTCAACCTGGAGAAGGTGGGCAGCACAAGCTGCTTTCTCTTGCTTGGATCAGGATCATTTTGCATACAATATTTGCTGCTGCACATCACGTAGGGGAAAAAAGAATCCCTTCTATGCTGAGCTAAAATAACCACGATGTTAATGGAGAAGCGATTAGAACCTTCCTTCTCTTCAAATCTTCAGGTGATCAGAAAAGCTTGTGTCCCTCTTTTTAAAGGATAATGCAAACACCTGGGAAATGATAGTAGTTTGAGCTGCAGTGGGAGCATTTTAAAATAATTTTTTTATGAGGTATTGTTATCGGATAATTAGATCAGCATTTGATAAAGATTCAGAATTATCAGTGTAGGAGGGCAGTTGCATGTCAAACTTGAATCCATCTCCACCATGGTCACTGAAGGAGACTTGCTGTTGTCATAGCAGTGCAGTCATGGACTGGATTTATTGCACCTGTCATGTTCATACAGAGGTGAATGAAGACTGAATTTCCATGGCAGAACTACAGGTATGGCAGACATTTGTCCCTCATTTTCCAGGGCAAAACTAGGAATGCAGTGTAGAGCTGTTAGAGCAGTGAGCTCTGCTTAAGCATGGTGACTTGTCTCCTTTGGCACTTCATGGGAGTGACTGTTAATGAGGTTGTTACTAATCATAGAGCGTGGAGCCATGGTATTCCCTTTAAGAATGTTCTTGAACTACTTTAAGAAGGATTTTAATTCACTGCACCTCTCCCTGCTGCAATGAACTTGATTTATCAGTAATAAATGAAGTTTAATCAAATACCACTATAAAAGAGAGCTATCTAAAGGCACATGAGGTGCTGCAGTTCAGATAAATACAGATAAAAAAAGCTTTCTTCTAATAATACAGTTTTCAGCACGATGGACTGGTATACAGGAAGCACCTCAGGAATGGCTGTGTTGACTTTCCACGTGCAACCAGAACTGTACTTGTGTGTACCATGGACAACTGCCTGACTCAGTTGTTGAAGGGGAATAAAAAAAGAGGAAGAACTAAACATTTGTTTCCCCTGATAAGTGTCAGGTTCCCACTGCTTACCAAGGGGGTATTAATTGCCAGGTCAGGGTGAGATTTGGGTGGACTAATCATCAACCTGCTGTTTTGGTGTGCTGTTCATGTTTGTGTTGGTCAAGTCTGGAGCTAGACTTCAAAAACCCTGCCTATACCTTGAAAAGCATAGAACATCTGTCACCTGCCATAGCCAGGAAACCCTCGGGACCTGGTCTGTGCGGACACCTAATCAACAAAAGACCACCACCAGCCACCATTTCTGTGCACTTAAATTCCTGACCATGTGCCTGAGGCCTTGGGTGCTTTATTTTCTCAGGGAAAGGAGCCTGTTCAAGCCTATACACATATTTTACTTGGTGCTACCTGCTACTGCCTCCCTTTGTGTGAGTATCCTAAAACTTTCTAACTGCAAACCTTTGCCAGCCCATTTCTGCACTGATGCAGAGCTGGTGAACGAGAAAAATGTTTTATCTTCTGGCCCCAACACAGCCTGGGGTGGGATGAAGGCACACAAACCCAACTGGCAATAACATGGTCACACCAGAACTGTGCAGAAGTAGTGTATGTCCAGACCTACTGGCTTCATACTACCTGTGAACTGAGCTGTCTGAGTTCCTGCATATCCTCTAGGTTTGAACATATTTTATTGATCTTTCATGAAAAACCAAAAGAATGTATTGCCAGAGGTGTCATCAAAGCCTCCTGACATGGGCAAGGGGCAGCAGTCAGCATTACTTTGTTTCTCCAGCCAAAGGCACATACATCAGTTTCAGATTATTAGGAAAATGATGTTTAGGAGTTACTAATTTTGGGTAACTCCAAGCACCTCAATCCTACACTGTGCAGTGCATGTCTGCAGGTATTTACTGCTTCCCCCCACCTGCCTGATTACATGAGGAAACAAAAGATTAGTGAAGGCTTCAGTTTGAGTAGAATGCAAAAGTCAAGTTTCATTCCCTTTTTTGAGCCAATACAGCAGCTTGACCATTAGAAGGAACAGAAGCTGGCAGACTGTAGCTGAAATCCCTCTTCCTGTACAGATTTTATTTGTTATGTCTTTGAAAAAATTCAAAGGAGAAACTGATTTCATTAGTTGTGACTTAGTTCTGCAGAGGGGCTCTGTCTGTGCACCTGTAGCTGCCTGTAGCACCTCCCCAAGCCCGAGACTTTCCCCTGGCAAGGGACCATTGTACTAACAAAGGGAGAGGGTAGCTGAGGAGATTTGGGAGATTCCCTTCTGCTGAGGGAGTCCTTGGAATAGGCCACAGCGGCTGGGAGGGGTTCTCTGGCCCATGGCGGGTGTGTAAATGCGGCACTCAGTCTCTGCAGGAAATTGAGGATTTCTCTCAGTGCCCAGCAGTGAACGCTCGGAGAGTTTTAAAGTTTGGGGCAAGAGGGTGGTGATGCCCCACTGGGACTGAGGCCCATCCTCCTGCCTGGAGCCCAGCGTGGGGTGCGGAGCAACTTGAGCAGAGCCACTGCAGAGCACGAAGAGCCTCCGCGGGCTGCGGGGCAGAGGGGAGGGGGCTGCGCTGGGCGTCCCGCGGGGAGTGGGGCTGGGAGCGTGGGGGTCGGAGGTGTGGGGGGTTGTGGCTTTCGAAAACGTCCTGGGAATATCTAAAATCGGTAACTTCGTTGGTAGTCGGCATGTGTTTGCCTTGTCAGTGGCTCCGTCACAGGGGAGTCTGGTGCAGGGGTTGCTCGGAGCGAGCCCGGGCTGTGACTCCGGGACACGTGGAATTGGGGGTGAGCAGGGAAGCTCCGCTGCTCTGTGAGAGTGAAAAAACAGCCCCATGGTCGCAGAGCACTCGGGTTTGTGTCTCTTAAGAAACTTAAAGACCTGTGGTTTTGCATCTGCTTTCACCATCTCCAAGACAGGATGAATAGAGGCTTAAAGTGTGCCTTGTTAGGTTTGCTTGGGATGTTGTTTAAAAGGTGGGAGCCCCTGGTGGTCTAGTGGTAAGGGCGCGGCGCTGTCACCGCCGAGGCCCGGGTTCGATTCCCGGTCAGGGACACTCCCGGGCAGGTGGGGCTCGTTAACCCTTAAAGGCAACCCACCTACGTCCTAAGGACCTCGCTGCCACCGTCCAAGCTCGCTTGGCCCCGGCAGATGAACCTTAGGATTAAAGGGTGGGCTCAGTTCCGCGCACACTGTGTCTCACCTAAAAAATCCAATGCGCAGGCTGGAAGGTGGAAAGACCTTCCCCGGATCTTTGCTCGCGAAGACTGGCCATTAATTGTTTAAAAGGTTTAAAAGGGTTTTATTCTCCAGTCCTGTAGATACTTGTAGATAAGTATATTATGCCAATAAATACAACTGCTTTTCAATTGGACTGTTCTGGTTTGATATTTAACCATACATACTGAAACTTGAGGTACTGTTTTCCTTTTTTCAAACTTTTCTCAGTTTTTCAGTTTGATTCTGTAATGCAGGTTTCATTAGAACTTTGTACTCTTATAGCCCCTCTTAATTGGATGTTTTCTGACCCTTTGCTGCCTCGTGCATTTAAAAACATTGTGTATTTTCCATAATCAAAAACACTAATTAAAAATGTACCGGATTCAAGACAGACTCATAGAGAATACATGGCCATAAAGAAATAACTATGACAAGATTTTTAAATATGGACTCCTTTTCCATCACTTGAAATACTTTTTGCAAGGTCGTTATTGTGCCTGATGTATTGAAACAGACTGGAAGGGGACTAGGGAATGGCTTATTAAACAAATGTTTGTACTTTGCTTTTTTTCAGTGCATGTTTAATTCAAATACTTAGGGCTAAGATGCTTTCCTGTGGTAGTAATGCAAATTATGAGAAAAATAAGTTATCTCCTTTATCGAGAAGGTACAAATTAGAGCTGGACCTGAACGTGCTCTTCCATGCTTCCAGACAAATTTCATGTGAGGTGCTGAGCACTTAGGAATAACAAAAAGCTGTGATAGCAAATGTTTCCTCATTCCCAGCATTTACCTTTATATTGTTTTAAGTACTGAAAGACAACATCTTCACTGAGGGGAAAGGGCAGTGTGTGAAATGGAGGAGTAAGGGAACATATTGTACCTTGAGATTTGGGCTCGATGATCACTGTGGGTCCCTTCCAACTCAGAATATTCTGTGACTCTGTGATTATAGTTTGGGGTTCCTCTACTGTTCAGATAATATTGGCAGACACAAGAAAGGATAAAATGCAGCACTTCATTCAGGCTTTTTCTTTGCTCACGTGCCAGATGGGAAAGGCATTTCCTCTGCAATGGCTTCCATGAGCTAGGATCATACCTTGACTTTATAGGGCAGCTTTGTTAAGTTTTTAAGGCATAACTAGAAATTAACAGAAGCCAGGAATCAAATGACAGTTTTAATAGACTTTAGAACAGAGTGTACAAGTATAAAACACTGGTTTTGTATTTCCAAAAGTTGCAGGAAGATAGCCAGTCATTTTAAACAGTCTTCTACAAAACATATGCCAGTAGATTACATAAAAGACACTATATACAATATAAAAGAGCAGAAAACAATCCTCACTGTAAAAATAATTTAAAACAAAGTATTTCAATTTAAAATATCTCCTATAGCACAAACTAATACGTTGTGACATGCAAGTGAAAACTAAACATATTGCATTCTTTAGTGTAGCCAAATAAGAGCTGTATTAAATTTGGACAATGAGACAACATGCCAGCATTTCCTGATGAATACAGGAGGCTGTTCTTAAATACTTATTAACTGATGTATCTTATGTTCCAAGAACAGCTACTATACATCTTCCAAAATATAATAAATATTAAAGCAAAGTATATGAATAATCTACATTGTAGAGTTCATTCGGGCCAATGTTGAAAAAGTGGTTTATAGAAAAATCCTGTTTCATTTACTACTGCACTGTGCAACTTTACAAAATAGCTCTAAAGGCTTAGAAACAATCAGCACATGAACATTTGCAACATCCAGTTTTAAGGCAGCCTAGCACTTGAGACATCAGAATGGGAGAAGCCGCTTTGCTTTTCATATGCAAGGTGGAGCTACAGCAGCTGGGAAATGACTTTCCCAGCCTGAAACCTCAAACCAGCAGGTTGTTAATCCACGTTGAGCCACTTGGCAGCGTAAATGGAGGCTATGGGTAGCTGAGGCAGTTTCTCCTGGTTTTGTTGCATCAAGTACAAAGGAAGAGCTTAATTTTCTGCGCCTTCTCACATGCTGGTAGAAACGCTGTTGTGCACTCTGCTTCCACATTAGAGCCTTGGCAATGTATCAAATGCTATTTATAATGCAAACTACCCTAGATGTGACTGCTGTACCCAGCGTGACACACTCTTGCTGTGGGGGATCCTTTTTGTTTAAATGCCAGGTTCTAATTGCTGAGGAGCCAGTGTCAACATCGCCGCTGTCCACAGGAAGAATTCAATTCGACAACAAAGCATTTTCACAGCACTTCTTGCTTGATCTGTCTGAAAATCACTGGATTCCTCAAGTACTCCCTGCCCTGTTTCCATTTCACTATCTGCTCGCATTTCATGTCTCAAACATACAAAGTAATTGTAAAAGAAAAAAACATTAGCTGCCACAGTAGGTCTTAGAAAATGCCAGTGTTTAATGACAGACTAGGCGTGAATGAAAGGTTTAGCAGAAGCATAAGAAGGTTTTAAATAAACCAAAAAGTGTTACAAAGCAAGAGGTGTGAAAATACCATTCTTTGGTCTAAATTAGCTGTTCCCTTTATATTAGTTTAACATTCCAATGGCTTTTTCAAAACGGTTTAAAAATAATATAAGCTGAAATTTATTAAGCAAATATATGTATTATATACATGGATGCCTGATCAGACAGATGAACTTAAACGTGAACAGTGACAGTTTAGATAATCCTGGTACCTTAAAAAAAAGATGAGTTAGTGTTGAGTGTGCAGTAATAGATTTTTATTGAAAAAGGTAAAAAACTAAGCATGAAAATCTGTTTTAGTTATTTATAAACACTACATCCTTATGGTTCTGTTGCTCTAAATTCAGACGTAAACATTCATTCTGACATGCCAAAGCTCCTAATGCTGGTGGAAAGTTCCTGTAACCAGTCAACCATCACTTTACAACACGTTGCTTGGATGTTCAGTCCCTGCAGCTTCATTTGTATAGGCTGATCCATCAGCTGCCGATTCCTCTTGCTCGGCTCCATCTTCCCCAAATCCAGGTTCCTCTTCCCTGTCGGGAGCATCCTCATCCTCGATGCCATTATAAAACTCCTCGATCTCACTCTCGTCCTCCACATCCAGGCTCTGACTGTGACACGAGCCGCTCTCACTGCTGCTCCCACAAGAGCTGGAAGATATGATGTCGTCCTCGGAATCCGAGTAAACCTCAGCACCGTGGAAAATGTAGCGGTTGGGTGCTAGAAACAGATACTGAGTACCTGAAACAGAATTCCAGCAGTCAACAAAAAGCTCAAGGAAATGATTCATACAGGATCTGGCAGACTTCTGCTTAGAAAGTATCTGCATATATGTGTTTTTATTTTCAGCAGTGAAGCTGAACTGACAGATGAGATGACACAAGAAAAGCATTTATGCCAATGGATGTGTATTTATTACGAAGCACAGAACAAATGCTTCGCTGGAAAGCTCAGTGTTCCCTCTCCCCCATTCTTCTGACACCAAAGAGCATTTATACTTTATGTTTAGCAGCTTTTTTCATCAGAACAGGCACTCCAGGCAGGAATCATCCCACTGTAAGACAGTTGTCACACAGATCAGATGATTCAGCTGCTGGAGGGCTGATATCCCACCACTGACTGCAGAACGAACCTTGGGTCAGACAGCAAATTGTTATTGGCTAAAAATTAGCCCAGGTGACACCATTCCACCTCAAAATAATTACATTAACAACAGGTGTCAGTCAGTGTTTTTTCATTGGAAATATTCACAGCTATACTTCCATTACCCATGACAGAATGGGAACCCCCTGCATGGAGTATGTGACAAAGTCTGAAACCAGCCTTTGCTCTGGAACATTGCAATGTCATACCTAACTCCTTACATCAGTTAAGAGACTGGAGGGCTTTCCTGGAAAATCCAAAGTTTCCTTCAAAATGTGCCTCGCTCCAGCTGTGAGACCTGCTTTCAGCTGCTGTCATGGCTTCATCTTTCAGCTCTACTGCCATACCAAATCATGACCTACGGTGAGCAGCTTCTGAACACCCGAGGATCAAAACAGTTTTTCTTAAAATGCATTTAAAAATGCTGGAAATGGATTTATTTTTTGATACCTACCTTCAGCCTCCTAAACTCTGATCTTTTAGGTGAGGATGTAATCACTGGTTATAAAACCTATTATGAAATACAAAAAACATTTCCTATCGGCTTCTCCAAAAGAAATACATGGTTCAATGAGAGTTATGTTGACACTTGTCTGAACAAAAATAACCACCAACCACCACTCACTCCCTCAGGAGTAATTTATTTATTGCTTTAAAGTAAGTCTAGCATAAACATCTCATCCAAAAAAATGCAAAATACTGAAATGACTTAACACTTACCATCCAGCCTTTTGCTAATCTGTTCTTTTGCAGATCTGTTTACCCAACACTTCTTCAGTATTTCATTCTTTTCCTTATTTTCTCCGCTGTTAGATCCGTTTTCCTTCATTGTGTCAGAGTTCATTTGCTCGCTAGCAGGATTTTCAGGGTTTTCTGCCGACGTCTGTGTGTCCTGAAGCTTCTCCTCTGAGCAGGTCCCTTTAGTTTCTGAGGCAGGCTCACAGTTTTCTACCTTACATTCAGGTGGGTGTTCTGAAGACACCACTGCAGTATCTGGTGGAGTCATCCTTCCTGGCGAGCTGGAGCCTTCGGAAATGTTCAGAGGGGTAGGGGGTAGCTCTGCTGAGAGCACTTCGAGCTCCTTGTGCGGTCGTGGAGGCTTTTCTGTTATTTCTGAAAGTTTTACTGAGTTGTAGCAAAGTTTTGTGTATTCACTACCCAGCCTTTGACATAATTCGTTTATGATAACGTCACAGTCTCCAAGAAGCTCCACGTCGAAGTGTAGATGAGGCAAAGGTTCCCTATTAATTAAGATCTGAGGCACTTCATGGGGGATGGAACCTGTGCATAGGAAGGAGAATTCAAAGGGAGTCACTCTGGCTTTGCTTTCAGCAGAGATCTACTGAGGAAGCTTGGCTCCTCGGGCTTCTCTTCGGACCTTCCCTTGCAACAGGTCCGAAACAGCCAGATCAGGAAGAAGCCAAGCAAATCCCAAATTTCACACCAGCAGTCTGAGGTGCAGTGCCTACTGCAGACTGCTTAGACAATTTTTTTCTTCCTGTTTTTTCCAGTTAGAAGTATTCCTCAGTCATTGAGAAACACATGCACAGAAATAATGACTCCAGTAATGTTTGGTCAAATGTTAAAGATTAAAATTAGCACTATAATCTCTTGGAATTATGTTGATTTTGTGCATTTGTTTTATGTACTTAAGTGAACATGAGGAATATACCAGTGGTAAATGACACCTCCTTAATCAGGTCAAAATATTTCCAGGTTGTACAGTGTTGTTCAACCCATTTCTGACATTTAGACTTCCCAAACCCTCCAGGTTTGGTGACCAAGCATGGACTCCTCACATTACAAATGAATGAAATCCACCTCTAAGGCACAGAAAGAGCAGTGGTTTGTATAGCAGAGGGCAACTTTCCAGTCCTTATGCAATTCCCATCAGCCTAAACACTGGGCTCTGCCTCTTGTACAGTGAAGAGGATGTTCCTGCAAAGGCCATGGAGAGTTACTGGTCCCAGTAAGCATATGTTAAGCACATGTCCTTCTCAGGCTTACATGTGAAGAGAATTTCTTTAGTACCAGTAAGTCTTTCACTCAGTACACCAATAAATCACCTGTAATGGTAATTTTTCAGCCTTTGAGAAAGGCCTTTTCCTGTAACATACATTAGCAGAGATGGTTTTCCACATTACCTTAAAAGCTAAGGATGCAAGTGGTGACACGCTGTACTGTGCCCACTGTGTGCCCCTTTAAAACTACAACTCACATACCAAATGTACCTGATCTGATTTTTTGATACTCCATTTAGGTCTTTTGAGATGACTCCTTTCTAAATCTTTCAAGTAACTATGAAAGCATATTGCAAGCAGGGAGAGAAATTAATTGAGTTGTAGAACAAAGTCATTCAAGTCTTAGAAGAGTACTTTTTCAGATTATCATTTCATTACCTTGAGACCTACCTGGAGTATAGCAAAAGCACATAAAATTTGCTACTTTCTCTATTTTGCATTTCAGCTTTACACAGGCAAGCAGCTTTCATCTTACTTGATGCTTAATCAAGTTTCCTCACTGAATCGAGCCAAAAGCTTTCTTGGCTTCTCAGTTCTTAACTGAGAATTTCACTTTTGATTCAAATTTTTGGAAGGAAATACTACCAGAGATAGTCGCTTACTTGGAATCAATGCTACTGGTCTCACTTTCAGCGAAGACCCAATGACAATAAGGAGATCAACTTCGTTTTTGTCGTACTTCATGGCACGGTGGAACTGCTCGGGTAAGTTCTCCCCGAAGAACACGATGTCGGGCTTCATGATAGCGAGCGGTTCGTCGGGGGGGCACCTGGGACAGCGGGGTACAACCTGCACCACAACAACACCTATTACTGCAGGGCAAGGCTGGGCCTTTGAAAATGTCACATTTAGGCATTTCACAGAGACTTGGCAAAAGACAGGGAAGTTTCGGTGATATTTCCTCGTCCCATTTTTCCATGGATGTACAGACAAGTACATTCCCTACTCTAGCCTGCAGCAACTGCAGAGGGAAATAAAGCTGCAGCAGGAATAAAGGGGGAGAAACCAGGCAGATCTGCAGCACAGTTCTTATCTCACAATTAAGCCAAAGTCCAGAAGTCATGCTCAGCACCAATAGGCAATCACCTCCCATTTGATAGGAATGTATTTTCCTTAGTTTAATCAGAGCAAAAACATAACGTTTCCCTGTCACTTCCCATTCAAAACAAAGCCCTTCCTACTCAGAGCCTATGGTAGAGCTTTACCTCTAGTTTCTCCTCTCCTCCAAAAGAGCACGTGTGTTGTACACAAAAGCACTGTGGCAGCTGGCTAAAAACAGACAGGACAAGAACAGGACAGAACTTTTGTTTGGTCTCCATTTAAAACTTTTCCAGTTCCTCCAAAAACAGAGAAGAATCGTCATTTGCTGACAAAAGTGGATGAGAGTTATGTTTGTGGAGGATAGAGTCCCTTTCCTCCTGAAACCAGAGAGTTTTCTGATCTTTGGGACCTCTTTCAAGTCTTTCCTATCTTAAGACTTTTTCAGAGAGAAGCGAAGCAGAAGGTGGGTGATAGATCTACTACAGACAATACTTCAATTACTACAGAGCAATTTCCCTTTTAATAGTTCCAGTCTTCTCAGCTATAGTGTTAAAATATGATGCCTGAGAATAAATTTAAGGAGCTAAATGTAGCTGCAATCCTATAGTAATCACCACAAGCTATAAATTAAGTTATAAAGGTGTAAAGAGATGTATATTACCTTCTGTAATAGGAAAACATCTGAAAACTGACATTTAATTGCATGAGAATTCCCTCTTGTACATAGAACAGCTGTAGAAAAAAATACTACAGAATGTAGAAAGTTTCAATCAAAGAATTAGTTCTATGGATGCCTCCAGTGGGACAGAAGACAATACTCTCCAAATTAGAAAATGTCACAAGTTAAAGGCCTTCCTCTACTGTCAAAGGATCTTTCCCAAAATTTAAGTCTTTGAACAAAGAAACCTTGTGGGAGGGATGCCTAAGAAGCAATATGGCACAAGAGCTAGAGGAAACCTTCACCCTGAACCCAAGCTAAATAGCACACAGTAACCCCATATTTAAGGGAAACCAACTAAAGAATTCCCCAAAAAGGAGCAGATGGCTAGAATGAATATTGAACTTTTTCCTCAGATCTTTACATATTAGAAAGAGAGCTTATACAAACAGCTTATAGTTTGCTTAAGCTTTTTCCCTTGCTGTCTCTTTTGTAGATGTCAGTGATGCCCTTGCACTTTTGGAAGGTTAAGGAGGGTAAATAATTTGCTCTGTATTAGGAGGAAGACAAAATGAAGACCTCTGACTTCTGATTTAAAAAGACCAAGTAATACTAACTCTGATTCCATCATTTCTCACTACAAGTCCAATGACTTGTGACTTTGTGGCTCTCTGTCCCTACTGAAATCATCTGTCACTGTAATGACCCATAAATGCATTTCAACACTACACTACTCACCAGCTTTTCTCTGCTAATCCTCAGAGAGGTCATCAGTAAAGGGGAAGATTTATTCCAAGAGCTGAAATTGATACCAAGAAGTTAAAGCTACAAAATTGGCCACTCAGTTGTCTCTAATAGGGTCCTCTTTCCCTGTAGAAGCAGCTCCCCCAAACCCCCCATCTCTGCTGATGCATTTCTCTAACGGAAGAGAAATGGAGTTTCTCACTGTTGACGTTACCCATATATCAAAAACAAGATTAGTAAAGATTACATTGGCTTGAGAATAGCCAAAACCCGGTGCATGCTTTCCATTCCTTGCACCCTTTCCTCCTAAGTCTGAGACCCTTCTACCAGTTCTTGAAGGTGCCAAAGACAGTCAAAAGTAAAAGTGATATTTTTGCAAGTGACTGACAAATGTTTTACTTGGATGCTCTGTGTGCTTTATACCTGCTGCTGTTTCTCATCCAGAAGGACGGTTGTGTACAAGAGAGAATCATTCTACAGCACTGCATCTCCAAAGTGGCAAATGGAAGAAGAGCAGCATTTGTCCAAACAGATGATCTCAAACAGTTCTCAGTCTGTCACCTGCTGAAAGGGAATCCTGACAGAAAGATGTTGGCCAGACTCACTTCCGTGTGAAGCACTTGTAAGGAACCAAAGTCTGTATTTTAGAGAGCCAACAGACAAAGATACTGTACAGCTCTGGGCTGAGAAATGCCGGCTACGGAATAGAGATAATGATGGTAAATAGATTTTTTTTTTTTTCAGGTATAAAGGTGGAAGGACATGTTTTCTTTCAATCACTCTATTTCTTATTTTGTGAAATTGTATTTGGCAATACCCACATTTATCCTCATTATGAAAATAGTTCAGTATTACAGCCAGGGCCTGCCCTGGAAAGATGTACCTAGCAACAATACTGCAAGATTAGGGCTGAGAGATGAGTGTAAGAAGCTCCTTGAGGCTCATCTTGTGAGAGAGAACCCTCTTTGGTCCCATCAGGCTGCTCCTCTCCACTGCCCGGCACTGCCATTCCTGACCCCTGGCACAAGTTTGGGTCAGCATAGGAACACCCAACGGTTCAAGTGGTGCTTGGAAAAGGAGACTAACAATCCAAACAGAACATTACAACATGCTTAGGAGGAAGAAAACCTCAACTCCAGCCAGCTGGCTTTGAAGGTAAAGGAGCAGCAAACATCTGTAAGATAAAAAGTTCTCAAAAATAATATTCTTAATAACAGAGTAAACTATATTTCATGTTCAATATTTCAGTGTTACAAGGCTTCAGGCTTATTAGACTCATATTCCTCCAAGCTTTATCTCAAACATCTCTTCTGAAAGGCTTTCATTGAGCTCTGTTTCAAATGTAATACCTGAAGGATTTATATCCCTTCCATATGTCTCATCTAAAGTTGCAGCTGTGGACTCTACAGCATTTATTAGAGAAACAAGAGCCTGCAGAAAGAGTCCCCTTTCATTTGTATAAACAAGATCTTTTTGATCACAGAATCATCACCTCTGTTCCTTCACAAGAAGAGGAAGAAAGGCAAAGAGGGTCTTGCCAAGTCAAAGGTTCATCTGCCCTGACAGAAGAGAACCAACTCCTGCATGGCCCTGAGCACCTCACACCCAGACATGGGGAGTTCAGACTATGGAATAGTTCAGGAGTCCTAGAAAGCAACATCCAGCATCTCATTTGATCCTTCCTCAGCACCTGCTCTGTGGTTAGCAATCTCTTCATGCATCAGCTGCTGTTTTAACACATTTTAACACAGGTAAATGCTCAAAGAGCAGCCAATGTTATAGAAGGCTACAACTGCTTTCTCTGTGTGACTGTGAGTTCAGATTAACAAAAGTATAAAGCCAAGTCTGTACTTAACATTTAGCCTCTGCTTTTCTCAGAGGTGCCATTAAAAATAGACTCTTAAGGTTTTGTTCTGATTTTTCCCATTACCTAATATTTGAGTATACTTTTAAATACCAGAGGAAATGCTAGAATTCTCTGAATATGCAAAGATATGAAGCCTTCTAGAAGTAGATCTTTTAAGCAATCCCAGTATGGTGTTTTGGGGTTTGTTTTTTTCAGAGAAAAGTAAGTTTTACTTACTTATTAGAAAGATGCAGCGAGTTAAAGTGAATTTTTTACCTGATTGAAAATATCTCCTCGAACAACTTCGCAATCAACTTTGTATTTACAGATCAGGCAGGAAGCTGTTGCAAAGGAACCTGAGGGGAAAAAACCCGTATGGTAGAATCAGGATTTTCAGTCATTCATATTTGGTCTTTTTGCCTGAGCTGTTTTGACACAAAGGCTGTTCTGTTGCAGTGCTATAGAAATCAAGCATTAAAAAAAGTAATGTAAAATTACGGAGATACTTGCAACACCAGAATTTGTTTTTCTAGATGTTAGTCATCAGAAATCTTGTTGTAAAGAGTAGCTTAAAGTAGCAATTCAGACCTTTATACAGCATGTTAGGGACGTGCTTGTCAGGCTAGCAGACCTAACCCTTTCTGAGGCATCTGTTGCTACCTACTTGGAACTCTATTATGTGAATTACTTGTCACATCAGAAGGACCTGATCGACAAGTTTGCCGCCCCATGCACAAGTCATGCATAGCCAGCAGGCCACGGCCTCCAACCACTCAGCTACAGCAGCGGCAAGGAATACAGTCCAATTCCAGATGTGTCGGTGGAATACAAGAGCCATTTTAAATTCAGAAAATGCATTTCAGACACCAGTTTTCGTAAGCAGAAACGTTACTGTATGTCTGCAGTGAGAAAATGGGTCCAAAGGTTCACATGTGAAATCCCCAAATCACTGCAGGGTTCCTTTCTAACTACTCGTGATTAACTTGCCATTGCCACAGCAAGAGAAAAATGTAGAATAAATACAGCAGTGTATTAAAGTGTATTAACCCTTACATAAGTGTTTCAGTTTCTCTTTAGCCACTACCATTAGACCATCTGGTAAAGAGTAGTAACTGTACATCTCATAAAGCTCGATGTGCTCCAAACAACCTTTACTAATTTCCAAAGGCCTCAAAATCTCAAAGTCCATAAAGCAGGTTTTTAAAGAATCTGTTTAATTTAAAGTCACTTTATACAGAACACACAATGAAGATGGTCTGCAATCTCCCCACTGCAGTGTGCAGCTGGAAAAACAGGGAGCCTGAGCAGTGATGTGCCTCACAAACATGACAGCACTGTGTTTAGACAATTCATTAGCCAGAAGTTTACTAAATGATTCAAACACACCCTTTAAGAACTAATTTTCTGCAGCCTTTCCTTAGAAATGAATCTGTGGACTTGTAGCTTGACACATGCAAGTCCTTGGAAATGGAAAGTGTATCGAGCAATTAAAGCGATTCTACTTAGTTTGGCATCATAGTTACAGAGTGCGAATGACACTGAAGGTGTAACAAGATGATCTCCAGTTCCCCTGAACTGGTGATTAATTCACACTGTTTTATACATGAAGTGAAGTCACTGAAGTGTCGGGATATTTCAAGATTTCAGTGGAATATAACCTAAATAAAGAGTCAGGTAACAGCCAGATTCCCATTTCATGGATAGACAGTGAGAGGGACTTATGACAAGACTGATTTCCGTGCTATGTTCTTATACAAGTCAGGAAGCACCAAATGCATTTTAGAAGTTATGGTCTAAGCTTGTGCAAACAGGATGTGCATCTTCACTGATACACAGACATCACTGCTTATCAAGCTCAACTTCTGAAAGAAGTATTTCCACTTAAAACACTTCTGATTTAAATACTTCAGCTACCTAAAAAGAAATTTCAACATTTTAAAAGCAGAATATTTGTTGGGAAGAGACAGAAATTAAGGAAAAAAAATTTCAATTCCAACAGCAGCTACCTTGTCATGTGCACCAGTCAGAACCATTCCTACACGTAAAATAAGTGAAACCAAACCCACTAACCATGACACTGTATTATCCTTTGGATTCCTGCAACCTGTTCCAGTGTGTCTATGTTCTGAGTATAGTTGCGAAGTAGTTTTCCTTCTTTATCCATCAAAGCTATGAACTTGTGACAGAGAGACGGCTGGAACTGTCCCGGATAGATTTCCTAGGAAATTCAGAAGCACATCAGAAAGTGTAAATGGATACACGGTGTCTTTATTTTAACAGCAGCAATTCACACTGAGCTAAATCCTGTCACCAGTGGTCGTGTCAGCATTTCATGCTGTCACTTCCTGGACACTTTCCCATTGCTCTGGATCCAACCCTTCTTTCCACAGCTCAGCTCCTGATCACATCCAGATGAACTGCTCCTTGCAAGCTAGTATTGTGTTCTTTACACAGCATGAAAACAACATTTAGATTTCTCTCTGGTTTTGATAATTAAGGAATGGGAAAACTTTTTTTTCCTTTTCAAGTGTCAAGCAACATCAGTGTTTGTAAACAGAAACATATATTCTGATAGACAGGAGAAGGAGGATTAAAAAAGTTTTAAAAAAAATTATCAGCTTAATTGGATTTGGGCTTTACTGGCTAAACCAGTTTATAGACAGGCTTCAAGTACGCTGATTTTTTTGCTTGCTGTGGCATTTTTTTCGTTTGGGGTTTTTGGTTGTTCTTGGGAGGGGGTGTTTTTAATAGTAAAAAATGAAGGAACTGAGTATACTAATGAGCATCAAAATATGGTTATCTGGATAGGAAGTTTTCAGAGAAAGCCAAGCAGATGAAGAATGCACTGGATCTTCTTCTCCAATCTTTGTAACATAACAGAGCAGTAATATAAATTGTGAGCAAAGGGAAGGACGAGTGAGCACGACTACTGCTGATTGATTTTCACAAGTCCTTACTGGTCCTGTAGAAATTCTTATATTTTGGGTTTGATTTTTTTTTTTTTTTGGTCCAAGGAAATTGTTTCACCTATGTCTACATCTTCTACAACTCCTTCTTGTCTAGGAGATGTACTCGCTGCTTTTGAAAGTGTTTAATACCGCTAACATCTTTTCAACTATCTAGAATGGTTGTGTGTATCATGAACTTCCAACAGGAACAGTAAAAATAAGCTTAAAGAATAAAAAAAAAAAAGAGAGAGAATGTTGCTAAATATTTCTAGTTTTATATCTGCTTTATGCATTTTAATCTTGTTATCTCTCTTTACTGGCCAAGAACTGTTGGAAAGTCATACCTTTGAGAACTTAAAGAATGGTCTGGGATCCTTTCTGAAGTATTCTATATCAAACATGGCTTGAGGATCTGGAAGGTCTGGGAAGTCTACAGCAAGGCGTGCATAGATGCCATCTCTGGATCTAAAGTCAGGTATTCCACAAGACACAGACACCTGAAACACATTTTTGCAATCTGAAGTAAGTGAAACTACATACTGGGCCATGAAGGGTTGCTGTGATAGAAACTCTGGGAAACCACACTTCTGTATGCTCAGAGTGCTCAGAGACATTAAGAACAAAACCACTCTGGATTCTCCATATTTATTTTTATTTCCTTTTTTTTTTTCTTTTTTTTTTTTTCTTTTTCTTTTTTTCTTTTTTTTTGAGAGAGAGTTGGGGGGCAACATAACAATTCCCAAATCATGAGCAGGAGAAGCAGCATAGAAACAAAGTTTGTTTACCACTTGCGTTTATCACTGGAAGTTTTGTAAGATATGAACAAAAATGTTGAATATTGTTGCATTAACTTTCTTTAGTAAGCATTCACTCATCTGCCAACTCAGGTTTAGACAAGGTGGTTGATATTTTTAATCTTTTTTTCGTGCTAACACAGTAACACAACAGATTCTTACTTTTGGTGGATAACCTTCTTTTGATAAAAATTGTTTATTAATAAATATTGTTTATCAAAGCATTGTTGTAGTCAATAAGGACTAATATTATTGTCTCTAGCTCAAAATACTATGGAAAGAGGAGGAGAAATAGGTGTATAGAGCAAGACAGTAAGACTGGGTAACAGGAATAGCAGTGCTCTTTGAAAAACTGATCTGAATTACTCATCTGCTCTGAATTGTGCCATACCATCTGTGTGTGAACAACACGAGCAAAAAATGATCTGGCACACAGGTAAGAGCAGCAAATGTGCAGCAGTTCATAAGTGTTCTTTAGTAAAAACAGTGAGTAACCTTGTTACCATCAGAGAGCAGCACATGCTAAAACATTCAGTCTAATCTCATCGAACTCTCCTTATGATCCTCCCCCTGCCAACTCTTTTTTTAATTTTCAAGTCCTGTTCTTCTATTCCCTAGAGTTCCATCTGGTATTTTAGGAGATCCACTGAGATTTTATTTTAAAAAATCATTACCGTTGTTTGAAATGAAAAAATGACCAGGACAGAAAATGTTCTGGATAGGTAATGGGTTCTTATTCCATAACTATTTTGCATGAAAGCAACTGTTTAGGAGTTTAAATGTCTAGTAATTTTTTCTTAGGAGAGATGGTGTGATTTCCAACTTGAGCTCCAGCCCTTCCCATGGCCAGCTGTGCCTCCTCTTCCCACCCAGCACAGGGATCTGGTCCCATCATCTGCACGCTGGTATTTAACCAACCTGTCTGCTACTCCCACACTGCCACTGCAGGAATACATACCCCAGCTCCAGTCAAGACCATTATCTTTTTGCATTCTTGTAAAAGTTTCACAGCATCATCAATGGTATTAATATCTTTCCTTTTTTTCCTTTTTGGTGGCTCTGAAAGGATGTTTATCACAATTTGCCACAGAGTCATATCATCCAGTTCGGGCGGGGGGATCGTTTCTGGTAGCAGGTCCTGCAGAATCGTCCGTGGGTCTGTACCCAACATGAGGTGCTGCTGAACAAAAGTGTAGGGACCTAACAAAATTTTAAAAAAATATAATATTTAAAACTGCTTCAAGTAACTCAGATGATTATGGTAATTTTTACATTTATTAATGCTTGTTACTAGAGTTTTAAGAATCCAATTTAATGTTCCATTCATCAAAATCCCTCTATGTTTTGGTCTAAATTCTAAAGTGATAGGGCAGCTAAGGATTTTATTTATTTACCATCATTTTATGTCAATCCATGAAGGATTTCATAGGAAGTCAGTCAAGGCAGAAACCCCAGTTCAGAGCAAACTTAATGGCTTTTAGAGGTGCACTGGTGTAGCAGTAGGATATTCACACTGTGTCTCCATTTTATGGCTTTATCTGTATTTTCCCAATGTTTGGTATTTACAGGAATAAGTTTAAGAGACAACAAACAAACATATACTTTCTAGTGGTATTATAAACCATCACTTTAAATAGACAAATAGGACCCAGCAATCCATGGAATTTGTTGTTCTTTTGACCATCTAACACTAATTATTTCAGACATGACCTCCTAACACCATCAAATCAATCTTTCCAGAAACACTCAAGAGTAGGGCTGTAGACGGAAAACAGGTATATCTTAAAAACCTAAACTAGGAGGACTCAAATAGCCATCATTAAGGCAAGCAACATATAAAGGAAACAAATGTTATACAATTTGCCCAAAAGGTAACAACAGCAATCAGAGGGATCAGCAAAAGACAACACCTGGGCAGGGTTTAAGTGGAATATTGTATTCTCACAATGTGTTTCCTTGCAGCTATTCTTGTCAATACTGGCAAAATCAATGCTGTGGTATTATCACACCTCTAAGTTCCAAGCCCACTGCCCCCTGGAAACCACTGCTCCTCACAGATCTGGTCCCCGTGCAAGGCAGGAGCTTCGTACAGAGTGCCCAGTGGCCATGCTTTCTCTATTGCTAATGTGCAATACATATGCAGGCTAATAATTCCCAAACTGATGTCACAGTCAATTTGCAGGGCTCACTTTCCTAAAATCATACAGGAATCATCTTCTTGTTCCTTAAAGAATACTAATAAATAGGGTAGAAGTATGCCATAAATCGGTTCAATGTAGTGAGTCTGTGTATGCTTTCAATAGGGATCATGGTGCGATTTCTGCTCAAGGGAAAAAAACCAAGGCATTGACAATTTTAATAAAAGTACAGTACATTTCAACAGGTTCATTTTTAAACTCCTTAAACAGCATACAGATACAGTAAACGCTGACTGCTCAGAAGCACTAATTGCCAATTTTTTTTCCAACAGATAAAACTGGTTTCCTTCTGGGGAGAATTAAGTAACTGTTCAGAGGCAGAGAGCATCTAAGAACATCATACAGGCATCTACCTATACGTGGTCTTGGGGTCCAGTCACTAGAACTTGCATGTGAGGCTCTGTCGTCTTCATCACTGTCGCAGGAGTGAAAGCCGTTGGCTATGATTTCATCGCTGAGGAGGAAGTTATCTGCAAGACAGCACAGCCAGCAGGGTTACACCCCACCCAAAGGGCACAGGTACATCACTAAAGGCAGCACAAAACTGCAAATTGGATGCCCTTAAATCTTGTTGCAATGAGCAGTGTCACTGCTCATGCACAGAAAATGCCTTTCAAGCCATCCATAGATTCACTATAGGATTTGCCATCTTAACGATGGGGCTTCAGTGAGCTGGATGCTGACCTTGGTGAAACTTCATTCTTTAAAGTACTGGGCATTATGGATATTGCATCTTAGAAAAAATCCAAATGTTTTAAAAGTATAATTAAAAATCCTTTTCTCTTACAGTTCTCACTGCATTCAGGTGATTGAAAAACTGGGTGAAATGGAAACAAGTCACCCTTATCGACTAATCTTCGACTAGCTTTTAAGAGCATTTTAACAGCATTTTGAAAGAAACCCAAAAATACACATTTGATACAACTAAGTTACATATTTGTGTGAGGGTGTTACCTTGCAGCTGAGCTGCAGGTGACCACATGACCACTTCATTCCAGTTACGACACAAAACATGCTCCCTTGGACCGCCTTCATTAATTTTCTCTCATCCATTTGCCCCTGCAGCTGGGTTTGGCTAAGAGAGCCAGTCACCTCAGCTCAGCCTGTGGCCTTAAGCCAGAGTAACTCAATCTAACTCCATCCTGGAGCTCAGTGAAGGAGTCTAAAGGAGAATGGGACACTTGTCTCGCAGCACGTGTTACTGAGCTCACTTTGAAGAGAAAATCTAAATTCGAACCTGAGCAGCTTACTAGAAATTAGACTACTAAACCTTTTTATTATTTGCTTTATTAGAAATAGCCACAGCACCTGTAGTTTAATTTTTTGAAAATCTAAGATATGAACAAAGTACAAGAAATTTCAGTCAGGCCTCTAAAGCAAAGCATCACTATAATAGTTTTCAGTCTCTATCTGAAGAACTCCCTACACTAGCTTTTACTTCACTTGATTCTTAAATAAAGAACACCACAAAACACCATCATTTTTTTATTCAGAGGTCATGTTGTCCTTTCCCTTGTTGGCATAAATACTTTATTCTGATTAGAACGGAAGGAGGTCGAGGACAGAAATTTGCTCTGTGTTCTTGCTGTCTTGTTCTTCTGAGGCCACAGGTGCTCTTGGACATTACTGTCTTATTAATCTACATATTTACAGCATTTCACTTCCACCTCCTTTTGTATGATGTCAGGGAACACATTAAGCGTTACGGAGAAGGAAGAAGTGGATTAGGACACATCAATAACTGTGAGGTGCAGGTTTAACTAAAATGACCTTTATGGTTTCTGTATGAAGAATCAAAGCTACATCGTGAAAGACTTGTCACATACAGGCCACAGTATGTGAGATTCAAGAAACAGTAACAAATACAAGCAGGCTAAAATAAGTTTCAATTGTAACAATCTCTGTGTATTAATTTGATTCCTCAAAGGGCTAAGGGGAAGAATGCTTGCCAGAACTAAGCCAGCTACAGCAAAGTATGCCTGAGAATCAGAGGCACCTGAGCAAAAAGGCTTCACATAAGGCACTGGTAAGAGATCATCAGCTTTGGTCTGTTCCAATGGAGTTTTTAAATACTGAGGCTGTTCCAGGTTTATCCTATAGCTCCATTCCTTTTGCAAAGGCAGAAGTTTTCTGTAGTTTTACTACGGAGTTAAAGGAAAAACATCTTTAACTGCATTCCAGGATAAAATGTGAAGAATTACTGTCAAAATGCAGTGTCTGATACCTTTTAATAAGTCTTTCCAAAGCACTGCCTATATAAAAAAAAAGCCAAGATGAACAACAACAACAAAACCCAATCTTGTTTGCAATGTGAGGGGCTTTCACACTGATGCTCCCCACCAGTACACTTAGAAACATTATCTGAAAGAAAACTTTTTAGAAAGGTTATAGTTTTAGTTACGTGCCGCAGTTAGTGAAATCTTAACCAGACTGTCACTCAAAGTTATTTAAAGAACCGGTCAAGACTGCTGCTCCTGTGCTTTCTGTGTGAGTTTCCAAGGAACAGAAATAGAATTATTATCACGGCAGAGATTACGAAAAGGAAGCCGGGCTTATGATTTTTCGTTTTTAATGACTCGTTGCCAGCAACACAACAAAACAAATGTTTTCAGGGATGAGAGCGGAGCCGCTCTCCCTCTGCGGAGCCCGGCACAAGGAGCAGCAGGCGCTGACAGCGACAGATCGGAGCTGACAGGGATGAGGGGTAGGGAAGCGATGGATGCAGCAGCTCGCCGGGCTCGGGCTCGGGCGACCCCGGCGCCGTGCGACACCCAGGCGGGGAAAGGAACCCGCGGAGGAGGGAGAGGAGGAGGGAGGGGTCGGTCCTCACCGGGATGCGGGGCCGACGCCGCGGCCGCCCCGTTCGAACACTGCGCCCGCCCGCAGCCCGGGGCCGCCTCCGCCGCGTCTTCGCCGGGCGCCGCCTCCGCGCCCTCCCCCCGTTCCCGCCGCGGAGGCGGCTCCGCTAGGGGCAGGCCCCGCGGGCAGGCCCCGCTCTCCGCGCCGCTCGGCGCCGCCGCTCCGCCGTCCTCCTGCTCCGCCCGGCCGCCATCGGCCGCCGCGGCCGCCGCCTCGCCCGGCGGCTCGGTCGGCACGGCGGCGGGCGCGGGCGACGGCTCGTCGGCGCGGTCGGGGCGCGGCGCGGCCGAGGCGGTGCCCGATGCGCGGCGGTGCCGCTTGGCCGCGGGCTCGGCGCTGTCGCAGCCGGGGCCGGCGGGGCTGGGGCCGCGCGGCCGGAGCAGCGCAGCGTCCCCGTCCGCCATCTTGGCGCCGCCGCAGCCGCCGCCCCCCTCGCGCCCGGCCCCCCCTCCCCCCCCGCCCGCCGCGGGCAGCGCCGCCGCACGTGACCGAGGCACGTGACCGCGGCACACAACACACCGGGGCACGTGACCGCGCGCCCTGCCGGCGTCACGTGGCGCTCGCGCTGCCACAACCCCCTCCCCACGGCCCCGGGGTCACCGCGGCGCGGAGGGGCCGGCAGGGCAGGGTCGGTGAGGGGCCGCTGGGCTGCCCCCTGCTTCCCCTGCCGGCAGGGCAGGGCCGGTGAGGGGCCGCTGGGCTGCCCCCTGCTTCCCCTGCCGGCAGGGCAGGGCCGGTGAGGGGCCGCTGGGCTGCCCCCTGCTTCCCCTGCCGGCAGGGCAGGGCAGGGTCGGTGAGGGGCCGCTGGGCTGCCCCCTGCTTCCCCTGCCGGCCCCTGCCCGTCCCCTGCTCGGGGACGGTGTGCACCGGCACCTCGGGCTCTTGGTCGGCATGCTCGAAGGTACTGCCTCTCGCCTCCTGGGATAAGATCTTAGCCCCTCGTCTTCTGGGATTCTGTACCGCGGTGCTTGGGCTCCCGAGATGCGGGAGCCTTCTGTGGGGTGAGCACCCGTCTGAACAACGGCTCCTGCCTTTGCTCCAAGAACATCCCCGAGTTCATTCGTTCCCACGTGCCCTGGAGGGGTGCTGGTCTCTGTGGTGCCCGCTGGTTTTTCTAGAGACCTCTTTCGTTGTGTGATTTTTAAGTGCGATCCTCAGTGCCCTACCGGGATGCTGAAGTGGGGAGGTACCAGGTGTGGGCTGTCCATGGCGTAGCGCTGCTTTCTGCCCCTGAGTCTGGGCTGGAGACAACTCGGCCACTTTCCCGGGACTGCCACCAACACAGAACTCTGATCTGAATTTCACAGACACAAATTTAAGTATTGTTGATTGTTGCTGTTCAACATCACAAGCTATTTTGCAGAAGAGTTTTAGTGAATTATACAATGGAATTCCTAGGTTTAGTGACAAGACCCAGACCAGATAGGTAGAATTTCCTCCTTTCAGGCCTTCATAGCTGACAGATTTTAAAAGATTTTAAAAATCTTTGAATTGAAGTTGTTGTCACATGGGTTTTGGATTCAAAAGGGATTATTTTATAGATAACTCACTTTATAGTTGGTCTGTGTATTTGTAAGAGAGGGATTTTTTTTTTTTTTTTTGGTTCGTGCAGGTATTAACAACCCTGAAAAACACGTACATGCCATTTTCCACACTTTCTCAAAACAAGTTGCCGAGAAACAAGATGTAAATCAGATATTTTTTATTATTCTATGCAAATTTATATGCAAGCATTCTTTTTCCTTACGCTGAGGCAAGATTCAGATTTCTTGAGAAGCACATGCAAGATGGTTTTGTCAGTATATAAAGGAGAGCTGGGGCGTTAATGTTTTGGTGGTTATTGATGTGAAGACTGCATTCTAAGGAAGAAAATCTGTAAGTGATGTAGATATATTACCTGAAGGTGTTGGTGAGGGAGTGACTTGAGGATCCTAAAGCTGCCTCTGATATTTCAGACATTTATCACAGTAATAATGGTGTTGCAGTAGTTCCCCTTAGTTTGGGAAGTCTGTGTGGCAGTGCTTGGGTCCTCTTCTGTTTCTGCTTCTCTGAGCTTGTGTGGGGACAGGGATGGAGCATGAAATGCAAAACTCAAGTGAGTTCTATTGTGCCTTGAACTTCTTGTAAATGTGCACTCTGTCCACAGGAAGCAAAACCACTGAAGTCAGTTGAGAAGAACTGGCCCAGGAAGATCTGGTGTATTTAGAGGAATAAATTCAAATAGATTTCCAGATCTTGCTGTTTTACTTGAAGGGCCATTTGTGACTTTTACAAGGTGTTGGTAAATGTCCTGTTACACTGAACCAGAATTTAGTTTCGCACTTGGCTCTAAACAAGTGAAATTGTTGGTCTGTGCTAGGACTGAATAGATGAGGTTTGTTAGTGGTTGGGTACAGAGAACAAATATGAGATTTCCTCACTTCCAGAACTGTTTGTACCTCCTGAGCAACACCAGCCACGGCCTGTGTAGGCAATAATATGTGCTATGTCCTGTGCTGTGATTCCATTGCAAATAAACTTTATGTCCTGGGGCTAATCTTTGGGTTTTTTTCCTGTGTATTATGTACAGGTTCTCTTGTTCTCGTTTTTGTTGATGCTTTGGGAGTTGCCCCACTGAAGTGAGGAGGAGCAGTAGAAGGCTGAGATGTTACTCGGTGTCGGTGTTTTGTGTCCTCCGTACACAAACCTTCAGCCTGTGCTGTGGGAGCCTTTGTGCCCCAAGGCCTGAGGGTCGGCAGGGGCACAGCTGTGGGCGCTGCTGCAGTTTGGAGCAAAGCCCTTGTTTGTTTGGCCTGAGCAGGTGAGTATGGGTGGGACCAGGGCTTCAGCGAGCATGTTCCCCGCGAACGAGCAGCTTCCAAGTCTTGGGGCTTTGTCACTGGAATCCAGCTCTTGGGCCTACAGCTCCACAAAAGTAGCCACTGAAAGCTGGACTGGAAAAGGGTTAAAGAGCCTTCCCTTTCACCTTTGGCAAATACGCAAGGAATACTTGGAAAAGAAAGAGATGTCAGGAATGCTGCTGGGAGGAGGGACAGCTGTTTGTTTTTTGTCCTCCCCAAAGTACATTCTATTTAAATATTTACATGTTCTCTTGCTAAACAGCTTTCCTTTTTTTTTCTATACTTTTCTGATTTATTATTAAGTTATGAATTTAATTTAATAGGGGGAGACAGGTTTGTAATTGCTAATTCTTCTGCTTCAAGTTGAAAAAGCATTTCTGTTGTTTTTTTCACTCAGAGAAGTATGATGCTAGAGTTTTCTAACAGATTTAAGTGGTTTCATTGAGGCTTGGTTTTCGTCTTTTAATATTATTGCTTCTTTTCATGTACTTTCTATATTTTATAATCTCAGTAAGCTATCTGAACATCCAGTAAAAATAGAAAACTTGAGACAATATAGCCTTGAAGAGAAAGCAGTGGAAGACTAATAATAAATGTAATTGCAGAACATTAATAATGTAGATAATAAAGTAAAGCACTTGTAGATGCAAAAATTATATATTTGTTATTCATAAACAACTCTGAATGGCCCCTGGGTCCTTCATTGGGTATACCTGTCCCAGCCTTGGTCACACTCTGGGGATGTGTTTTGCACTGATTCTCCTGCAAGATCACTGCATCTAGAACTGTGTACCTACTGAAGGCATCTGTTTTAAGTATTAGTTTAAAAAATCAGCAGTATTTAAGGACATGAAGCATCTTGGATTACAAAGCTCTTGCAGGGGTGGGAAGAGTGAAAACAGAGCTTCTGAGGCTCCAGAGAAAATGCTGCAGCACAGGTTTGGTATTACAGCTGGGAGGTAATCCTCTGAAATAACAGATCATGGGAGACACCAGTTGTGTCTGTAGCCTTTGTTGGGCTGAGGCCTTGGTCACTAAACGTAGTTCAAAATTGAAGGTATTTCACTTCAGTGTAAAATGAGTTTTACAAGGAACGTGTATGCACACAGTACATGCCTTCAGTACACAGTTTGAAAGTAAGGTAGCGTGAGGAAGGGTCCCCATTTAATTTGATAGTAGTATAATGCCTTTGGATAGTTTTAATTTTGTCAGATGCGTGGCTGAGCTGTTTGTTTTTGAGGAGGTGTGAATATAACTGAGGAAGCTTCGGTGAGTAGATTGCCCCATTTTTTATGAGGTGACTGACAGAACTGACAGACTTTGGCAGAATCAGTACCCTATAATCATTATTTTGGATGTATTCCTTACTCTTTCCTATAATTCCCCATTTAATCCCCTTGTCAAAGACTGTGGCAAAAGTTGCAACTAAAGATCGAGCAGCTGATGTATTTGTGTGGGCTCAGGGAAGCGTGTGCTGGTTTGCAGTGGCCGCACAGGTCCCGGCGTGAGCAGAATCTCAGCCAGGATTCGCTCAGTGCCCAGAACTCTGGTCTGGACGGAATCCTCAGTTTAACGTTGAAGTGACTCTGGCAACTACAAATCCCAGGGAGCTTTGCTGGGAGCAGGTTTGTGCAGGAGGGTTGGCATCCTGCAGGGACCAATGGCAGCGGAGAACTCCTCAAACCCCTGCGTGTCAGCTGCCAGCGCTCCAAAGCGCCGGAGAGAGCTGGAGACCGGAGTGGGAACCGCCTGTTGCCCTGGGCTGATTTAAAGTCCTCTGTGAGCTGTGAATTGACATCGTATTCTACAACCTCTGTGCCGGCTGGAAAAAGCCCGCGGGAGTAGTGCCGATGGATGCGATTCTGAACTGCAGCGTGGAGGATTTGGAGGATTACTACAACTTGCTGGGATGCGATGAGCTATCGACGGTAAGAACCTTCCCTCGCTCCCCCAGGTTAATCACAGTTTGAATGTGCTCGGCTGTCCGCGGGGAATCTGGGGGCAGGACTGTCTGAAATGGCTGGTGAACCTCCTTTCTTGCTTTCCCTTGGAAAGCTCGATTTTCTGATGTGTGCAGCAACGTGAAGAGCCCAGAATAAGGCTTAGGTTAAGAGTACCCTGTAGAACAGGAGTGTGGTAGGGATACAGCCAAATAACGGCTTATTCATTGGTGTAGATCCACAAGTGGACAAGCCAACTGCATACATGTGACAGCATCCAAATAATATTTTGGAATATGGTTTTGAAAAATGAAAAGCTATTTATGTGCTACTAAGATGACGAATGTTTTTATAGCTATAGGGCACTGATAACCCTGCTGAGTTTCTCAGGCCTTATACATATTTCAGGTTTTCTTAACTGTATTCATTGGTTCAGAGGAAAAACCAAAATAATACCTCGTTTTCATTCATCATATTATTGCTTCTAAGTGCTATTTTTAATGACATTAAAATACCAGCTTTACTAATTTGTTTCGGTAGCAGATACATTCTTTATAATGAGATCTCTAGCTAGGCAATTGTTGAGTTAATTGTAGCTAAAACAAGTGTGCTTCATTCTAAAGGTGCCTGTATAACATTTTTTTGAAAGTCTGGTATACGAAGTCTCTCACCTGTCCTAGTGGTCAAGTGTAAAGATCAAGAGGAGACATCTTCGTTGTGTCACAGAAGGAAATGTAAAGCTGTTCCTGAAGAAACTCCTAGAAAGGATCCCAGCAGAGGGCAGTGCTCAAGTCTCCATGCAGGCTCGTTTTTCAGATGCTGTTGCTCGTTTTCTACCTCACACCAATTCCTTAAGATCTTAGCAATTAACGAGAGCAGTTCAAGTACATCTGATAACGGGTTTTCAGGTTGCTTAAAATGAAATTAAAAAGCTGGAATAAATGCTAGTGGGCCCTGAAGAACAAGCTGTCAAGTGCCGTTTGTTGAGAGAAGCAGCAGACGTCGCTGCCTTGTTTTTGCCGTGGTGAGGTCACAGGCTGGCCGAGCCCCGGGATCACCTCCCTCAGGATGCTGCACAGCACTGCTAAGGTCTAACAGAAATTTGGGGCATCACAAGTGTTTTGCAACCACGCTCCTTTGTACATGCAGGCAAGTACATGTAGCAGCACAGGCTTCTCTGTGCTACTCTGCTGATACTGTACACATTTAAACTGCAAAGTGCCCCTTTAGGTAACCTTTGAGATGGTAGCTGGCTATACAGTAACCAGCTTCATCAAGTTCTCTATAGGATATATGTATTTTTAAGTGCTGTACTTACTGGAGATACACCACATTACATCTCTTCCTCTGTAATAAGTTACTGAGAAGAGGGAAAGCTGTAGAATTCTTAAGATACCACCAAAGACCACGTTTTTTCCCAGCATATACCAGCAAAATTTGGCAAGCTAGTTGAGCAAACTGTGATTTTATTCTAAAGGAAAAATGTTATGAGCCTTAATTTTGAAATAAATAATTTAAATTGTATGTGGCTCTCATGGTTTGAAGGATGAGCCTTTCTTTTATGGGAAAGAATAGTAACTACTTGATACCTCAGGGTGAATTATTGTGAAAGCTTAAGCTGTACTGGAATGATATAAAGAAGTTTTGGCTTCTGAATTATAATAGGCAGCAAGATACTTGGAAAAGCACTAAACATTTGAAAATCTAAGCTGATGCCCACGCCAGTGGTTTCCTATATTTTGTTAATTGTTAATATGTCTTTGTTTTTCCAGTGGTTGTGGTACTTTACAGTACTACAAACTGTGTGGGAACTTGTAATTCATTAATAAACGTGCTAATATTGATTATAAATCTATTCTATTCCAAGCCAACCTTTCTGCACAGAAAATTAACTTGGAGGAAGAATGTGAGCTGCTGGTTATCTAGCAGTGGGGTATCCAAGGTGGAAAAGCCATGTGGTGCTGGCTGAACTTCCTATGAAGAGGATATGGAGAAAGCCACCTAATCCACCAAATGAATCTTCAGCAGTACAGAAAGAGTTTGAGTTGATTAAACAAAGTAAAGAGCAGCTGAAGAGATGCATTTTGCCTGTGTGGTCAAATGTCTTTACACATTTTTCTTAGAGCCAACTTACCATATTGGATGACTGACATTCACAAAAACAAGAGTAAGGATGAGTGCATGGAAAATGAAATTAAATAAGCAGTGTCACTGGCAGATGGTTGTTACCTACTTTGCTTGTACTAAAGGTTGTAAAAATGAATAGACAAAATCTTTCAGCATTCTTAGTTAATCTTCCCAACCCCTTTCAAAAATCAAATTTGAAAAACTTTTCTGTGTCTATCTATTTAACTACTTTAAGTTTCAATATTTTGTTTAGGTTGAACAAATTCTTGCAGAATATAAGATTAAAGCCCTTGAATGTCATCCTGACAAGCATCCTGGAAACCCCAAAGCAGGTATGTATCATTTCTTGTTTAAAAGCAATTAACATGACCAAGGTGCTAAATTCAGCCTTAAAACTTTGTTAAATATTCCTTCCCCTCAACATGTTTTAATCATCATGTGTATTTGGCATATTCTACTTAAATAACAGGCTTTTAATGTTCTTGTCTAAGACTTGCACACATTTAGGTGATAGTGCAGAAAGACACATGTTGGATTTTTTTGTTTTCTAGGATTTTCTTTTTTTTTCTTTCCGTGGCTTGTTTTTCCCCAAAAAACAGGTGGGACCTGAGCTGTGAGGACTAAGCAGCAGCTGAGTTATTTGGATCTAGTGTGACCCATTCGTAACCACAGAGAGGTCTGGTCGGTGCTCACCCCCATCTGAGGAGTTTATATTCTTATGTTCTGATTGTGATTTTGATCCCCCGCCAAAATTTTGTTGTGGAATAATTTAATATGCTTCTCATTTTAAATAATGCACAGAACTTCCTCTTTGGATTCTTCCTATTAGTTGAACTATAAACTATAAAGCAGGGCTTTCCTTTCCTTAGTGAGCTCACAGGAGAGGAGGGGAATGTGGGCATTCGAATGTCAAACCAGCTTTGTTCATCAAGAAGGAATGTTTTATGCTCTATTTACCTGAACATGCTGTATTTACTTTAAATACCTTTTTATGCTACTGGTAAAAGTTTACTTCATATTTTTTATTTCATTGGCTTAAAGCTCAATAAAGAGTAATTAAAGTAGACCTTTTATTTGTTGAAAACTAGTAACACTATAAGGAAACGTAATAGAACCGGCCCCTCAGCCTGTTGTCCCTTGTTTGATTTGTAGTTACCAATTTTGATTAGTGTTTGGACATAGTGTATTTCAAAAGAAATCTCTCTAATTTGTAGACTGGAATAAATGAATAATAGATCACTGTAACATGGGTGAGTCACAGATAAAGTCTAAATCTTTATAACCCTTCTACAAATAGTAACATGCAGCTGCATCCTTAGTAACCATTTCATGAGAAATGACCCTGGAGGGAAGAAGGAGATCTCTCATTCATCCAGCCTGGTATTCAGGATGACATTTTAGCATATGTAGAGAGCGCGCACCTAACAAAATGCACAAGTTAATTAATTTGAACTATCTTTAGATTATTGCTTCTCAGTTTCTGCTTGTCTGTTTTTCCCCTTTTCCTGTTTTATTGCTGCTATACTGTTCTCTGACTTCCTTGCTTCTGTAGATCTAGGTGTTTTCCTTCTAAGCAGTGTTGCTCTAACTTCCCTTTTTAAGGTTGTCTGCAAGGGCTGACCTGTGCCTTTTGCCTGTGTACTCTCTCAGGTTCTCTCAGCTTAAATTTAGGAGCTTTTGAAGGCAGTAGACTAAGAAGCATTTTATTCCTCATTTGAAAGGGTGTCAGCTGTCCACCAAAGGTGATCCTGATGCCAGCTACAGCTGTGCAAGCTGTAAGCAGAACAACCACATCCCTCACTGACTGGCTTCTCCTTCTGCCTCCTCTGTTCTGTTTGCTCTGAGCCATTGTTGGCATCTGAATTCAAGGCTTGGAAAACAAATACTGGCTTTAGCATCCTTTTGGTTTGTGTTCTAGTGGAGAGTTTCCAGAAGCTGCAGCAAGCTAAGGAGGTTCTCACTAACGAAGAAAGCCGGGCGCGCTACGATTACTGGCGACGGAGCAAAATCACCATCCCCTTCCAGCAGTGGGAGGCCCTGAGCAGCTCCGTGAAAACGGTTGGTGGTGCCTAAGTTGGGCCTTCAGGAGGAAGGGAAGGTAGGGCTGGACCAGACAAAAGGCTGCAGTGAGTGAGGGGATGAGTTAACAGCAGTGGAGGGGCTTGGGGATGGGAATAGCACAGAGTGATTCCTGCACTATTGGATGTTAAGGAAATTGAGGAAAAATTAGAGGGCTATAGAAACCCGTTCACAGAAGGGCCTGTAGTTTTGGAGTGAATTTATCAAGTTGCTGCTTTTGTGTTTGTGTGTTTCAGGAAGTAACTTAAGGTCTGTTTCCAAATGCTTCAGCGTGCCTCGTTTTTGTAGGAGGCTTTTCTTTCTTTTCAAAGTTAGATTAAAGCTGGGACCTTTATGTAATATATTCTCCTTTTGGTATATTGTCTATCAGATAGGTTTTTCATGCTATCTGATTAAAGAAAGAGCTCATTGAAAAATCCAGAAGATAGGTTCCTTGAAACCCTGGGCTTCACACAGTGTTTTGGAGGGACCCTGCTGGGCTAGTGGGGTGACTTGTGACAGAGAGTTGTTTTCCCTCATGTTTTTACTATGTTCCTAGCAGATCTCAATTCCATAATATTTGATTTTTTTTCTACTTTATTAGAGTGAATTTTAGTTACAACAATATAAGAAAGAAAAGTTCAATAATTCTTTTTTACAGCACAGGAATTAGTTATTTGTTACTTTTTGCATTCCTTTAGTCAATGCACTGGGCTGTCCAAAGTAAGAAGGAACAAATGCTGGAAGCTCCTGACTTCAGTAATACTGACATAACTCATGAGATTTGGACCCAGCAGAGGGAAAACAATGAAGATGGATTGTTGGAAGGGAACAGGGAGCAAGAAGATGTTGCAACTCCTGATGTGAAGCCACAGTCTTCAAAGAATCCAGACTCCCCAAGTAAGTGAAAACAGCAGTTACAAAAAATTGCAGTATCCAGGGATTGGCCTGAAATGGGGGCTTTTAATCATGAGCTATTCTTCTTCAGAACAATATGTTTGACTGGTAGGTTTTTTATCATGGGTTTGGGTTGGAGTTTTGTTTTGGGGTTTATGCTTTTTCTTATTTATTTAATTTTGAAGTTTTCAGACCTTTCTTCTTCCCTACCACATTTCCTTGCCTGTTTTCTAGTAAAGCCAGAAAACCTGAGTAGAAACAAAAAAAAAGCTGTAACCAAAATGGAAAGTTCAGTTTTGCTGCTATATGAAAATTAAAAATTTAAAAAAAGGCAGTTCTTTTCAGTGACTTTAAAAAAAAAACACTTTTAAAACAATTGAGTAAAATATTTAGGTTTCGTTTTCTATCCAGTATTTATTACTTCTGAGCAGTTTGCATCTGATGAGTTAATGAGATCTAAAATTTGAGACTTGAAGGCTTCTTTTGTATTCAAACAGGGTTTTTAAAATATAGTGCATGCAACCAGGATAAATGTGTATTTCAAATTGTCACCTACCCAGTCAGTACACTGCAGTCATATTACAGTCAGTACCTCTGTCTGTTGTCTAGGTCAGTGTGCCTGATGAAAGCTTACTTACCACAGCAGCCACCTCTGTTCTGCCTGATCCTTCAGGAGTTTCATAGGCTTAAGCTTATATTATCAGAGAAGTATTATTAAACAAAGCCCTGTAATTTTTTTTCCCAGTTTGATCAAGCGGGAAATGAAGTTCAGCTGTGAGGATGGCAAAACCTTGTGTAATCCCAACCATTTGTGGAATGCAGAAAATAGATGAGAAAATTAAACAAACAAATGTATGTCAGGCCTAACTGAAAACTTGATATTGAGAAATTATGCTCTATAACTTTGCACTATTTGCTCTTTTTTGGTAATTAAATCATCACTGTAGAACAGTAAAATTTTGAACTAAAGAAAAAAATCATCCTGTTCCTTGCAATGGTGAATTTTCTTTGCAGGCATCTTCTTTCTCAGGGTTTTTATTTTCTGAGTTTTAATTTAATTTCCAGATGTTTAAATGGGAAAAATATCAAACTCGTCAAGCACCAACTTAATTTATCCAGTAGGCATATATTTACATTAATAAATGTTGATATTATAATATATTTATTTGACAGGGTCTACATGTATTTCAGTGTTTATACTTAATGTTAGACACTTGATAATGCTTTTGTTTTGATTCAGGGAAAATTACTACATTGGATTCCACTTTTAAACGGTGATATTTTCAGTTCCTCTCTGCCGGTCTGTACAAATTACAGACTACAAGTCCATGTAGCTCTTTCAGCCTGAATAAGAGATTTTAACACTAATTCTGCTAATAGGTTTCATTTTTCCTGATATAGGAAAATCACATTTTAGTATTAACTGGCAGATTTATCATGTCACCATCTGTCTCTTCTTCTTTAGATTAAGCCAGTGCAATTTGTTCAGTTTTTCTTTGGGAATCCTCTTTTGTGGGCTGCTGTTTTTCTTGCTGTTCTCTTTTGGACTCTTCCCAGCTGATACACCCTGAAGTTTGGTGTTTGGGATTTTGTTCAAACATGCCAAGAATCCTGACCCTGCTGGTCAGGAGCACTGAAGTGACCAATTTTTTATTTACTTTTTTAGAGGGAAGACTATCAAGTATTATTTCAGACAATTTTATACTTAATTTATAATAACTTACTTGCCTTTCTCTTTTCCTTTCTCAGGATTTTCAGAGGGAAATTACTGGCACTTGCGTTTCCGCTGGTCAGGTGATGCTCCATCAGACCTTCTGAGGAAATTCAGAAACTATGAGATCTAAAACGCAGAATATACAAGAGCATGAGATCATGTGTTCAACAGCTCAGTATTTTTTTTTTGTGTCAGCATTTATAAGTTATTTGTATTTTGTATTCACTTGTTGTAACGTGAACGTTGTCCCAATCGATGTCTAAATATGGATTTAACACGTGCTGTGAGCATTACAGGTGGAGGTCTTTCTGTTCAACAAGCAAAGCCTTTTCAGTATTAACATGAAATGATTTTGTGAAGTTGTCTGGTGTCTTATATATCGTTTCTTGTATTCTGGAATACTGCATAGTGATTGATATTTTTCTGATTGCTGTGATGTTATAAAGAACATACTCTCAGTAGAACAGAAAGTCCTTGTGGGACTCCAGGGTATCGTTCTATTCAGAGATGATCATCCTAAAGCTGTTTGACAATGAACTGTAAACAAAACTGTGCTTATTTCTGAACTCTGTGCTCTGGCTCACTTCTCCATGGCATTGTACTCACTGCAATGATTTATAATGCAGGCATTACAAACTTAACTTCTTGGAGGATTGTGATCTTATGATAGAGATGAAAGAAGAAGGTTCTTATTATCCGAGGAGGTCACTGTGATAGATCAAGCACTCCTAAAAAATCACTTGCTTTCTACCATAACAAGTACGCTTTTTGCACCAGCTGTTTATTTTGGAAGGCAGTTCCAGAACTTTACCTGTCTAGTTAGCAACGTTTTTTAATTAAGATTTATTGGTGGACAACTGGTCCTCCTTGCTACATCTGCCAACATTGTCCTATGGCTTCGTAGCAATTTCCCTCCCTGCTGAGGTGGGGGTAAACGTGGTTTTATCAGTTTTTATCAGAATGAAGAATCGGAGAAGTCAGCACTAATGTGTACAAAATCTCACATGCTAGTTTTTTTGATATTTTGGGCAACTTTTCAAATTCTACATAGTTGTTTATTTATTTTGTATTTGCTTTCTTCTTTGCAAATCTGGCTAATATGTCAGGTATTAACACTGTGGTTTTGTGCGGGCAGATAATTCCATCAGCAGCAAATAAAACTGCCTGCATACTGGAAAGGGTTTGCTTTCATCTTTTTAACTAAATCCTTCACCCACCACAGAGATCCCTTTAGAATTTCTTGTTGTTTGTACCCTCAGTGGGTAAAAGCTTAAGGGAGCTTAAGTTGTGTATCTGGGGCATCTCACTGGAAAGTGTAACCTGAAAAGTCCAGTGTTCTGCCAACATGGAAACAATGTTTTGATGTCTGTCTCCCCCACGCAGGGGCTGATGTGTTGACTGACCTACTGTGCTTCCCCTTGCATATTTTGCAGCTGGAAACATTATAGAGATGAGTTTTATAATTCTCTAATATCTGGTGAATTTAATCACCATTTCTTTTCTAGTGCATTTGCTGCTTTACTTCATAGAAACATATTTGCTCAAGAAAAACTTTCAGTCCCTATTATAAAGAGGGATTGTAAAGTGTCAAACAGTAGGAACAGGATAAACTCGAGTTCATTTGAAGGATGTACAGTAATAGGGAACAATTTTCTCTCTAACAAAAAGGTGGGAATGCAGCCAGCTGGAGCACTTCGAATCAGGTGAAGGCTCAGATTCTTCTCTCACCATTTCGCTTGCCAGTAAAGGTAAAAGGGGGTAGTTGGATGGATGATTTAGCACTTAATGAGCTGGTTTCCCTTGAGAAGTGAGTACACAATAGACCTCTGAACAGCAGGCTCATTGTTTGTGTCATTAAAACTGATGTCGTGATTAGCCAATTACTGCACAGTTTATTTTGGCAAAGAACCTTCGGGTGTTTGTTCTGGATGAATAATTGCAGATATTTGGAAGACTCTTAGCCCAGTGAAAGCTGATGGCAAAACTTGTGTTTTGCAACATGCCTGCTAGAGATCAGTATTTTAATTTGTATTTGCCCTCTGAAGAGGTCAGGTTAGAACTGGTGCTCCAGAACACCAATACCATCAATACAGACTTTAAAATTTTTTTTCTATTTCTCTATGTGTTAAACTTGGAATGGTCCAATTTTCTGTATTTCTCAACTAGAGTTGAATTAACCTATTCCTAGCAGAGCAAACCTGGGGGTACTGGAAGGCCAGAGGAACCTGTGCAGCTTTTACTATTGTTCCCCAAAAAAACAGGTGGGACCTGACCTGTGGGCCAGTAACAAGAGTTAGCTGGAATAAGTGGGCAGCCTAGTTCATCATGGCAGAAAGTAAAGAAATAAACACTTGACAAATTATTCGGTGTTAGACCACTCAGGGTCCACCCTCCAAGGGTAAACTGCTTTTTTGCCCTTTTTTTTTTTTTTTTTTTTTTTAAGAAGTTTTTCTCCTAGTAGCATGAAAAGATCCAGGAAATATTCCCCATGACATTTTTATTTATTGTGGTGCCTCAGCCTCTGCAGTGGTGAGCACAGAACATACTTCACATGCTTCAATTTTAACTGGGTGGGGGTTTGTGAGGTGGATCCAAAGCTCTGTGGACATGTGATTACGAGCCAGTGGTCAGGTGTACGTGGTTTTCAGTGGTACACAGAGAATTTAACTTGCTTTACAAAGTGGAAACAGCTGCAAAAGGTTAATTGTGGGGGTGGGCAACAACAGCAACAAACCCAGACACCACATGTGAGATTAGGGCCTGTGAATCTGAAGCTGGTGGAGGAGGGCAGTTCTCTGCAAGTGATGGTAAGGTCCCATTTTCTTCTTTAGCACTTCTTGTGAGTTGTTTAGGTGGGTAACAAAGGGTTCTGGGTACCTGAGGGGTCTGACTCAGTGTGTGCTTCCATCACTCACATCACTGAGTGTTACTGTGCTGGGGTGCTACAGCTCGGAATGAATTGGTGTGAGAATAAACTGGGAGGTGAGCCCAGCTCCTCTGAGTCCAGTCAAAAGGGTTAATAAAGCTTGGCCATTACTAGACTTGTGAGGGCTGAAAAGCTTTAATGTGGAAGTTATGAGATAGCAGATGGGGCTGCAGGTGGGTGATGATGATGATAAAATACAGAGAACTGGGCATGTTGTTGAATGCTGTGTTCTAGGTGTTTGAGCCTGTATCAACCAGGTTTGTAAGATCAGAAATTAAGCAGCTATTTAGCCAGGTGTTAACACTGTAACTGAACAGCTGGGGGGGACCCTTGAATTATGTAAAATTATTTTATTTTTGTCTACTTCTGTCATACTTGTTGTGCAAATGCAGAATATATAAGATTGCAACTTTCCTAGTTCTTGACAAACTTATTGTTTTGCCAGTATTTGCCAAGTTGTTTTGCCAACATTTCCCAAGTGACAATATAAGAGTTAAAGTTTGGATGATGAATAGAGACAGTATATGACTTAAAATCTCGGGCTGAGTAATGCTGAATGATAGGTAAGGTCGTTTCCTGAATGTTCTTTTCCTCCTTAAATAAGATTAGGGAAAAAAAAAAAAAAGGTAGTTTATAAGTTCTATAATAGAAGCAAGCATCCTGATGATTAAAACAGATACTGGGTAGCTTTAATTTCCTGAGCATGAACATTGCTATCTTACCTTCCCAGCAGGCTCATCTCTCATTTCAGGATATGAAAGTGTAAGCAGTGAGGCTGTTGTAAAAGATAAAGCCCCTCAGTAAGTGGCCGGGCTCTGTCACTGTCAGCTGGGGAGACGTTTATCAGTTAGTTTGTGCTGGGTGTTTTTATGGCAGCCCAGTGTACACACACATCCTACTGTTCCAGGATGGCAGGCCCTGGGTGTGTTTCTGCTTTCACCTTCGCTGTATTTAATCTTGGCTCCCTCTCATGTTAATGAAGATGAGACTTTTCACGTGCTCTGTTTGTCCCAGCTTTAAAGGGCTCGTGTCTGAGTCATTACAGTGGTACACGGTATAAAGTTGGAGCTTTTAAACGTTTTGGGTCTCTGATGGATATTCTAACCTGTCACAGGTGATGGATGCTGGAGAAAATGATTTTTCTTTCCTCTATTCCATCTTCGCAGGGGTTGGCTCTTTCTCCCTTCTTCTGGTGGAGCAGTAAGAGAGAGGGACTACTTCTAGAAAATGAAATTTTTGGCCAAAGTGCAGAAGATTTCCAGACTTGATATTGTTGTTGTGGTTCTCAGTGCTTTGGACAAAATGATTTGCTTACTGCTTTGCCAGAAATGCTTCTCTGAAAATATGGAAGGACTCTTGGCACCAAAGGCAGAGAGCTTTTCTAGGGAGATGCAGTTTGGGCATCAGTCCTTACTGAAAGTACTTTGTTAGGATTGTCAGAGCTGGTCATTCATTTCCATGGAGCCCCCAGATTCTGGCTGGGTGGTGAGAGGACTGACAGCTCCTCACAGACTTTGTGTGAGTGATATCTCTGGGTGGGTGGTGGGCAGGAGAATGAGCAGAAAGGTCCAGAGAGTAAGAGACAGTTGCAGCTGGTTGAGTCTGAGTGCCTTGTGTCCTGAGCCCAGGACATTGGTGCTGGTGATGTGTCTGTAGCTTTAGTAGGCTGTTTGGCAGTCCTTACTTATTGTCTTCCCTAATTACAAAAAATAACTGCAAGTAAAACCATAGGGTTCTTCCCCTTTAGTGCCTTGATGGGAACATTTTCATAAACCTTGCTGATGGGTGAGAGTGGGAAAGAACTCGGGTGTTTGCTGCTGCTCTTTTTTCAACTGCCAAGTTTTGGGGGAAATCACTTTCAAGGAGAAAAGGTTCACTGAATGCAAATACTTCCTCATACAGAGCAGAGTTTTGTTTTTCTGACAGACTGGCCTCTTGTTTTTCAATATAAAATTTAAAATAACCATATCTTTTGGTGTCAGTCATTTGGCTTTTCCATCCGCAGCAAGGTCCAGTGCAAAGAACATCCTGAAGTAAACTTCCTAAAAAATGTTTATTTGGGTTGGTGCTTTGTCTTCAGATTTATGAAAACAATGAAATATGTCTTTTGGAAATAAGACACTGAAACTGGTCAGAAAAAGCCCTGTCAACATCTTCAGCGATACAGTGGAAAAGAAGGATTAGCTTGGCCACTGTGTTTAGTAATTTGAGTCTTTTAATACTATCTCTGTATTAATTTGGAAAGCTCCCCAAAACTGAATTACACAAAACAGTGTTTCTCTCTTCTGTTCGAGATTAAAGAGGTGTGAAGGATCTTCAAATTATAAGGGAACAAAAAATAATTTAATTTCTTGACTCAATAAACAAAATCAGGCCTTATATGTGGAAAATATGTTGGTTTTTTTAAGTTATCTGAAATGTGCCCACTCCCCCAAAATGTTGGTATTTTGCAGAGTGACTAACATGTTGTACTGTTCTTAACACAAAATTTTAAGCTGCTGTGAGAATACAAATGTGCTAAGGAGAAAGTAGCACATGTGCTGCACCTTAGCAAAAGATATTTAAGTTGGTACAGCATTTAAAAACTGCCTCCTCTGAAAGGTCTGAGATAAGGTGTCTGATCCCAGTATCCATTGGCACATACTTTCCCCTGTGAGAACTTAAGAGAAATGTCTAATATTATGGTCATATATCATATATTACACAGGCCCATTGTCATTTATTTACCAGTTTAATATTCCCTCTAAAATGTAACTTCTAACTTACATGTGCCCTAATAGAAACAAACACCAAAACCTGAAATCCCTGGAAAGCTTTGTTAGGGAGCCTTTTGAGATGTTCATTTTGCTGCCAGCTTAAACAATTTTTTGTTTGTTCCCTCTTTCTTTTATTTTGTTCTAAGCAGGGATAAATCACTGTTTCCTTTTCTTCCCGTCTCTCTTTTTTAATTAAATTAAGTTGCATTAACAAAACATGATCCTGGAATAAATGGGTTTGTATGTGTGTTTGTGTTGGGTTTTTCTCTTGTTTTTAAGAGAGAGAGAAGTGAAAAGCAGTTGTTCCTCCTCTGCCTATTTTGGCCTCTGTGAAAATGGCCTTTTTCTTGTTTCCAGCCTTTTCTTGGTGAATTTTTCAGCCCTTCACTAATGCAGGAGCCACGCATAGGAGGAGACTAACACATCTGAGTGGGGCAAGTCAGTTTAAGCAGGTCAGAAAGAGGGGATTGAGGGCCTTCTTTTGTTTTTCTTGGTTCTTAGTTGCCAAATAGCTTCTGTGGGGCTTTTTTTCCCCCTCATTGTCAAATTTTCCTTGTGTGTGTGCATGTCATGCATGTGCAGAAAGTCACAAAGGGCAGGAAAAGATGATCTAGGACTCCCCCCGACTGGAATTCTAGGAGGAATCAGAGCAGCTTCCTTCACAAAAGGGAAGATTCCATGGAGCAAATGCATTCCATGCAGAGTAGCCTGCTGCCGACAATATTTTGTTTATTTCGTATCAGCTGTCTGACATGGAGGCAGGACAATAATCCTTTGGGCAGGTCAGTGCAATGTTTTTGTGTAGGATCTCCTTAATGTGTGTAAATATCTAAAGGGGGGTTGCCAAGAGGATGGAGCCAGACTTTGGTGGTGCCAAGCAATAGGACAAGGGGCAACGAGCAGAAACTGATGCCCAGGAAGTTCCACCTGAGCATGAGGAAGAACTTTGTTCTTGTGCGATGACTGAGCAGTGGAACAGGTCGCCCAGAGAGGGTGTGGGGTCTCCTTCACTGGGAATATCCCAGAGCTGTGTGGATGCAGTTCTATGCCACGTGCAGGAAGGTTGAACCCAGTGATCCACTGCGGATCCTTTGATCTTGCCGATCCTGTGCAACACCAGCTCATCTCTCATTTTGCTGCGGAGCTTTAGCAGCGAGAGAAACATGAAGATTAAAACTTGAACATTATGAGAAATAAAAGGACCCCACGAGAAGGGGAGCTAAAAGGTGACCGCCACCCGGCCGCAGCGAGCAGGGTTCGAACCTGCGCGGGGAGACCCCATTGGATTTCAAGTCCAACGCCTTAACCACTCGGCCATCGCTGCTGCTGGCAGCGACTGGGCCCGGCTGCGTCCTTATAGGGCGTTCCGCCGCGGGAGGCCACGCCCCCAGCCCGGCGGAGCCAATGGGCGCCGCGGGCCCCGCCCCCCCGGTGAGGGAGCCGCCGCCATGGCGGCCCAGCGGCGCAGGGACTCGAAACCTCCGTGTGCTTTGGAGCTTTCCTGCCTGAAACGTAAAGGCTGTGTCTGCTCCCGAGGGTTAAATGTGCGCACCTGAACGAGATAGAGAGAGGGCAGCCGGGAACTGCGACAGAGTACAGTAACGATTAGGGATTGCGTTAGCTCCCGCAGTGATGTTCATTTTTTCTCGGTTTTACGATTTCTTTCAGTTATTAAAAAATGCCTTTATCATATGTCTCTTATATGTAATTTAATTAACTGTAGATAATATATATTTTTTTTACCCTAGCAACAGTTAATTGTGCCAGCAGTAGTACAGTGAAAATCTAACTTGACTTCGGACCTGTGGAGCAATGGGTAAAAATATCATTTTACCTCATTTTCCCTCCAATAGTAAGAGCTCTTGTTAATACTCTTTTATAGCTGGAGTGATGTTGATAACTGTGCTTCCCTGCCTCCATTTTTTTTGGTATGAATTATTGATCAAGAAGCACTCATGATGAATCTTTAACTTGCCTCAGTACCAAAAATATTGCTGAATTAGTAAAGATCTTAAAATAGGCTCATGAAAATAGTCTTTTAGGACTTTTCTCTGGAAACCTGACCTGGAATAACGTAGAGAACAGACAGATATTAGAAAGCACAAGATGTATCCATAGTTTAAAGGAGTTAAAAAGAGTGAAAAAAAAGTAGTACTTTCACTACAGTATATTATAGCTGATGGGAACTTTCTAAAGAAGCGGAGACTGTCAGATCATGTTTGCTCTAGGGAAAACAAGTATTTGTCATGTCTCAGTGCCAGAAAAGACTTGTTGGGGATTTTAGTACAAAGCTGCTGCTGCTTTTATTTTTTTTTTTTAAATTTACTTGAGGACAAGGAGCAAAGCTGTTTCCTTCTGCATTGATGGATGTGCTGCAAGATTAATTTTCTTTACAGAAAACAGACTTTTTGAAACCTGTGTACAGGTAATATTTTAGGAAGATCTTAGGCAATGCAAAAGGAAGCCAAATTATAAAAACACACCAAAGTTCAGTTTTGGTAAAAACCTTTCAAGTAAGGGACACATTCAAGTGTTCTATCACTTCTAAAGGGATTGAATCACAACTGGTTGTTTTTTTTTTTTTTTGGTGTAATACTTTTTGACACTTAAAGTTGTTTAATAACCTGGAGATCCATGCAATATTTGGAATGTTACCATATGAGTCTTTTATGTTATTTACACAAAGTTATTTTACTCAGAAAAGATAAGGAGAAAACTTTTAAATGCTCTATATCTTGAATTTTGCCCACTTATTAAGGACAGTTGCTAAGAGGGAAAAATTCATCTTATTTATATGAAACATAAAATATGCCTTTTCTGCTTTTCCAGATTCCTTTTTCTGTTATTCTCATTGAAGGAACCTGGAGGGGGGGATCCATTATGTTACTGGGAGCCATACATTTAAAATGTCCTTAAAGTCTAACTTAATATATTCTTGTTTTAGGCTACAGAACCAGTTTTTGCTTTTAATTCTAGTGAAGTAGCACAAAGAAGTGCTCAGTTCTCTGAGAACTCTAGACAACTTTTCCCTGTGCTTTTTGAAAGGAAAGTCTTTTTTAAACACTCTCTTTCTTGATTGAAGTGTTAAATACATTTTTTAGTGAAGAATTTTTATAGCTTTTTTTTTGTCGTTGTTGTTGTTAGGACAATTCTTCTGTAAGCTGAGAAAATATGAAGATTGGTACTTATCTACAGAGAGGTTTTGAGCTGCTTAGGGTAAATGTTCAAGAGAAAATGAATTATTGTTTCTATTTAATGTGGATTTGAGAGCAAGCAAAATCAATGGGAATGGTGTCATTAATGTCTGTCCCACACAGATATTCACCTCACCAGAGGTCTGTTGCTGTTTGACTTACCTTGTGATAGCTGCCTGAAACTATAATAGCACAGCTCCTTTGTCTCAGGAATGAAGTTAATTAGCATCACTACTAAACTATAGGCTTGTGTTTTGGAGGTTTTTTGGATTTAATCTCCTTGTCCAGATGTGTTTTGAATCCACAGGAAATTATGCTGAAAAGACAGTTACATTCTGGAGTCATGCAAAATGCAGAAAAGTCAAATAAGACACAGCCAAAATAAATGACGGTGTGGTCTCAGTAACAAAGGACTAATTTACAGGAAAGAAAGAGAGAGCCAGGGCTACCTGTCTGTGCTCCCAGGGCGGGGACCACTGGGGACAGCACGGTAGGTCACCCTGTCCTCCCACACACGCACTGCTTCCTCCCAGGAATGGCTCACTTCTGTGGTTTGAATTCAGGAGCCTTTATTTCGTAGCAGAACTAAGAAGAAACCTGTTTGGGCTTTTTTCCCCTTTTATTGGTAATTGCCTTTATTTTACGTTCACATGAATCTGGGACTCGGGATAAACGTGCGATTTCAGTAAAACGTAATAAATCGTGGGAGTGGGCGGCGAGCTGTGTAGAAGGCACGCGGTGTGTTGTGTGTAACCAACTGCCTGGAACTGAACGTTGAAAAAAATTGGCGTCTGTCTCTCCTTGGGAAAAGTTGTTACTTGAGCAACTCTGGAGTGACCTCCAGCGTTCTGTGTGCAGGCTGCAAGTAGAGAGGGCTCCCAGTACGTCTTGCAGGTACCCCGTGCAAAAGGTGCAGCTTTAAGTACTTTGGTACGTCAATCTTTGAAGATGAGCAGTGATCCAGAAGGGCTTGCAGCCTAAAGTCCTGGATACTGAGCTAGGGAAACTCAGCAATATCTAAAAAAGACACTAAAACCCAGACATACAAACCTAGAGTAAACCACTGAGAGTTCTGAACTGTAATAATGTCTGTTGCCAAGTGCTGGAGAGCCTCTGCAAGGTTTAATTAATAAAGTATGCTATCTGCTGTACATAATCCTATTTTTTAAGACCTTAAAGTCTGAGATACTTGGCTGCCTTTAAGAGGCTGAGGCAGCTTGGGTAGGGATAGAGTTTCCTAATCTGCATGGGTCCTTCCCCACACATCAGAGGAAGATCCTTGTCCCCAGTGGGCACGTCAGTTTACCTATTGCAGAATGGTGTGGGGAATTCTCCAGGAATACTGTCCTGTAGCCATTAAGCAGCCCTGAAGATGATTACATATTAGACTAAAAACCTAACTAAAGCATTTGGCATGTCACAGGCTAAAGTTAATCGTGTATATGCATAAACATTGCTAATTTGCATACAGTGATACTGTCAGAAGATCAGTTAAGTATCAGAATTCATGTATATAAAATTGCTTTATGAATGTATTGTTGCAGAATTTTTGAACCTATTGGCACCTGTTTCTAAATGGAAATAGAAATTACAGCTGACAGCCTTCATGACGGGTAGTGGGATTTAGAAAGTTTTCATAAAATTATAATGCACTTGCTTTGGAAATGCAAAGTAAATTAAAGCCATTAATGGTTAGAATTTTGCTTCATGGCAGTAAGAATTGTGAGGTAAACACTAAAAAAAAAAAACTTCAGTGTATCTCATGGGCTTTTAAAGAAGATTTAACTGATCCAAAATGGGCAAGATAATAGATAAAATTTCTCAGTGGGTAAGTGTATTTTGAAAGTGAATTTATCTCCTCAAGGAATCGTAAAAGTTTTATTCCTTAGTGCCTTAAAACTAGCAAGAGCTGGACACTGGAATAGATAACAGAGATAAAAGTCTGGTTTAGGACTGTTATATAAAATGATGGTGCTAGGGTAGAATTGCCTATATTTTTTTCATGTTTTTCATTTCTGCAAGTAAAGAGGAGAGACACTGAAAAATCTTCAGTAGGATATGGACAGATTAACCAACCAGTAGAAAAAATGCACAAGTGATTTCTTTAGAAATATGGGACCTCAATCCTTCATTTCTCTTGTCTTTCTTGACCTTAAGTGCCATGTTAATTTTGTGATGCTTGTTCCATCCCTTCTCACCCATTTACTCCGTGGCCTTTTATTTAATCATTCTCCATCAACTTTACCAATTCAATAGTTTCAACTTTTATTTCTATTACGAATTTATGATGCTTGCAACAGAAAAAATAGATTAGATTCTGCCCAAACTAACAAGTAGAACAGAGCTTTGTGCTTGTGGGGAACTTGGAATATTCAAGAGTAAATTTTACATCTCTCTTGAAGGATGTAAGTGAATTAATGACCCCAACAAATTATTGTATTAGAACAGCTAATGTAGTCTAACACCACTGGAATTTCATTTTAATGAAATTACAGGCTCGGTGTTACAAGATTATCAGATTATATCACTGAATGTTATTGGTGGTGTCAATGCAGCCAAATGTTTAGTTGCATTCTTATTTTTGAGTAAATAATCCTAGTAAATTTAGGCATGTGTGCACTACTGGATTAGACTCTTTGTCCTTAATACATTTTACCTGATTTATTGGCTTTTAAACAAAATGAATATAACATGTTCCTTCTTGCGGCTTGTATGTTTTATACACACATTTACTACATTTTTATGAAAACAGAAAGTAAGCAGATACGCTTTCAAAATCCAGTTATACTAAATATCATGTGAAAATGCTAATCTTTGCCAAAAATGCCCTCATGGTAAGTTTATTAATTAGGCTTGGCTTTCACAAGACATCTGCAACACCATAAATAAAGAGTGACATATCATCCACCTGCACAAAACCAAAATATGCTTCTGGCTCCCATTCTGTATTGCTTGACTTTGGTCTCCTTTCTGAGCACAGATCCCTGTGTGGTTTGGAGACCCTGATTTACTTACCTTTTATCTGCTTCAAATCTTAAAATATATTGACTTTCTAAAATTTATTGTTCATTTCATTGTATTTTCCACTTTGATAGATTTTTTCCCCATTATGATACTGATACATTACGATACATTACATTATGATACATTACTGATACATTACATTATGATACACCAGCAGGTGCATGTCGTGTTTAGCACCTCCAGATCAGTAGAAGCTTTAGAAGGTTTAGGTGAGATAGTGGTCAGTTATGAAAAAGACCCTTCATCAGAACATCTCCCTTTTGGTCGGTGGTTGACTTAGTCACATTTGTACCTAAACATTACATCTAATTGGAGTATTGACAGATTGCAGTTATCCTGGGCAAAAGAACACTCTAATTCCGATTAAATCTCAGTGATAGATTATAGCAATAAACCTTTTCAATTCCTTATACATTGAGAATCAAACATGTACATTTTGAATTGCAAGACCTTGAATGAAGGAAAGGTAAAATTCAGTAACAGAGTAACTAGTACTTTGATTATCCTTTAGATTCAGCTTACCATGGGTCTTTCAGATAAATAACCCCCTTTTTCAAATCAAGCTTCTGCATATACATTGTTATACAATGTTAGAACTAATTACACACCTACTGTTTACCTGTGCAGAAATCTATGGTATACAATATTAGCACTCATGGTTAGAAGTTTGATTTTTATAGGTCTGTATTGTTGTTGATTTCTGTCACTGAGAGGCTGTATGCAAAGAAACACAGTGACAATGTGCTTTTGTTGAGTTGTCTGAGAACCTGGTGATCTTCATGAATTAATCTTGTTTTAATCTTTGGTTATTCTCTCCTTTATAGCCTACATTTCCTCCTCAAGAAAGATATTCCTGTTTAAAATTCCAAAAGATAGTTTGAAGAAACCAACCTCGAGCAATGGAAGTCTTGAGATTTGTGTCTGTGTGTGGATCACCAGAAGAACTAAGGATGAGTTTAGGAACTTCAGGCACTGCTGTTTCATTTCTGACACTTAAGGTGATATGAATAATTTTGCAATTTAAGCTTCCAAACTGCAAATTTCATCCTGCATGGTTTCTCAGTAGTAGGGGGAATTAGTGCCTTGTCAGCAGAATGCTTTTAAAGACTTGTCCCTTGAAATAATATTATTTATTGTTTGTATAGAATTATAGCTTACGGATTCGATATAGTTCTGACAAGTTTCATTAAATAATAAATGTACAAATGTGAAGTGTATTAACTCTGGTCAATGCTTCTATTAAAAGTAAATAATTTAGTAAAGCAATTGAAAATAGAAATGACAAATTACTGGATTTACTTTTGATAGCTGAGGGCAAATGGAGAGTCAGAATATTGGAATGTGCTTGTAGGTGCAGAGACCTTGGGAAGCAATGGCGAGGAGGGTGAGGTGGACACAACTCAAAGAAAATTTTGCTGCCAGGGAAAAGCTTTAACTTGTGAAGGGATTTGTCCTCATGCAGGATGTTGTGTATGTTCCCTTTATCTGTCTGCTGAGAGGTGACTCCCTTGCTGCAAGTGATAAAATTGTCACAGCGGTGCCTGGGGGCCCCTGCAAGGGGGGGTTGTGCAGGCCATAATCACAGGGAAGGAGTTTTATTTCTGAACTATTTCAAGTTATTGCAGCAGTGTGAAATTTTGTTAAAGAAAATTTGAAAATTTCCTTTGGCCTGGTTTAGTCTAAGTTATTTAAGAAAACGTGATGACATCTCTGCAGGTGGACACAGGGTTATGTCCAAGGTCCTTTGTCTGGTGTGTCCATGCCCTGATGCCATGCTGGGGTTAGATTTAGCCACTCACCAGTAAGGAATTTTTTACTTACCTTTTATGGGAATGAAATCCAGGTACACGAGATGCATAAAACCCTGATGTGAATCAACCAGTTTCCTTACATGGATGATCTCAGGCCAAGACTGGGATGTACTACAGATGTACTACCAATGAAGATACAGATACTTCGTTTGATTTGAAATTTTATTTATTTTTCATGGTTACCTAACTTGATTTATTAAATTTTCAACATGTTTGCCAGAAGTGCTGGGTCTGACTAGGTCTAGCTCTCGCTCAAAGCTGTGAAATCCTATCCAGAGTGTTGGGGCAGAACATACAAGGGAAGAAAAAAAAAAACACAGAAGTTAGCAAAAGAGGCTGGAAAACCTAGCACCTGAAAAAAAAGTTTATGTTGAAAGGAGGATACATGAACACTGACATAAAATGATTTTAAGTGAATTCCAGCAAGTAGGCTCAGTGCTTATGAGCTACCTGTCGTGGTGTGAGGGGAGAGTGGTGGGAAACGTCCCCTCAGTGCAGTGCAGGCAGAGGAGCAGGGGCTGGGGCCCCCTCAGGTGAGCCCCCTCCCCTCAGGTGAGCCCCTCTCCCCTCAGGTGAGCCCCTCTCCCCTCAGGTGAGCCCCTCTCCCCTCAGGTGAGCCCCTCTCCCCTCAGTTCCACCCTCAGTCAGGGTGTGTCTCCCTGCCTGTTTTAAGGAATGGGGCAGGAGCCACTGACCGTGCTCATCCTGGAATTCCAGTGGCCCATAGCTGCAGGGTGACTGTGGGGTTCACTTTCTGTGGTATTTCAGCTTCACGTTCAGGATTCTGTAACAGAAAGACTTGGGCCTCCAAGGCCTTTTCTTCAGGAAAGTGAACTGGGATTTTTTTCTTTTTCAAATGTAATTTGTTCTTTTAATTGACTCAGTACATCTCTTCCTAGTAATGGCAGGGGACATTTGGGTATATACAGAAGTTGATGGGCTAACACCCATTTACCAATTTAAAATTTCATGGTTGAAAGACCAGTTTTCCATTCACGTCCCTATCAAAACAAAGAGGATCGCTGTTCACCACTGTGATAATTTGCTTCAGAAATGAAACACTGATGCAGTTACAAAGATCTAATGATTAAAGAGGTGTAAAAGGGATCACCTACATAAATCCATTTGAATATATGGAATTTTGCAATTAAGTGAATTGTGTTTCTGTTTGCTCTTAAATTTAAAGTAACATTCATGAACTGAGAGAGCTACGAAATGCTGAGAAATACTAACTCCATTTAGTAAGATTTATACTTTCATTGCATCACAGTTTTAATACAGTACTCAGAAAATTAAATCTTTTTTAGTCCAGCACCTTTCTTCTCTGTTTATTGTTGTTTATGCCTCTAAATTAATGAATTACAGGTGAGCAAAGAAGGATTTTTTCCAAGGGTCAAGATTGAAATATAAACCTGAGAGGAATGAATTATGGATGAAATTGTAAGTTTAATATGGCAATACCAGGTACATTTCCCTGTAATAAATTATTGTATCATCTAGGAAAGTCTGCTTAGTTTATATGAATAATATTTGATACTTTTGCATCCATAATCCATTTTGCTGCATTCCTTCTATGCAGCTTTAAGTGCAGAAGACACTAATGAAATCACTTGGCCAGTCCAGGACAAAGCCCAAATGTGATTGATTTATTTTTTCTCCCTGTTCCTTGCAGCTGTTTCTGTACTGTCTCTTATGTATATCCAAGTCTTTGTGGTTTTTTTTCTTTCTCTCTTCTGAGCAGTCACAATATGTGCTCCTTCCTTACATTTTTTTTTCCCCCCCTCCTAGTTGAGCCTCTCCAGTGCTATTAGATGGTGTCAGATTATCTCAACCTTTGGGCTGTCTGTGCCCTTTTTACCTCTAAACAAACTAAAAATAGCCAAACTGCTTTGGTAGAAATTTTGCAAAATGAACATTCAGCATGACATGTGGGCCTCATACGAATTTTCAGACTGAATGGTTTAAGACCACTAAGATCTTAAACAGCAGAATAGAGTCTCTAGCAGAAAAGATACAAATATTGACCAACCTCTGCCTTTTTGGAATTTCCAGAGGGGTTTGTTCACATGAGAACTATTTAAAACTGCATTTCAGGATACCCAAATTTGCTATAATAGTAAATTAGCAAGACTTCACTCATGTCCATTTCCTAAATGGCTCTGTTGGTGGAAAATCTTATAAATGTGGGATTATCAATCTGGAAGTATGTTTTGGTTGCTTTGTGAAGGTAAATGAAGAATATTGTTCATACAAACAGTTTGTGTGAACTTTTATGATTTTACATTGCATCTGTATTTGGACTGGGATTTATGTGATGGTCTTTGCTTGCTTTCTTGCCTTTCCCTCCTCACGTTCCACCTAAACCTCCCTGATTTTTGAGAGGGCTTTGCCATTTACTTCACTGGTGTCTGATTTAGGATCTGAAAGCTCGGGTCAGACCATGTTTGCAAGACTAGGAATGAGCTTGGGTGTCTCTAAGTGGTGTTTTCAGTCGGGCACTACCAATCTGGGAGGAGTTCCAGTTGAGTACTGCCCTCCCTGTTTTGACTTTTCCCCTCCTATTTTGTTTCTCATAGACTGGGAATGACAGGCACCCATTTGCTCTCACTGTCGGTCCCTCAGGAGTCAAGCTGCATCCAGAGAGTTCTTCACGGAGCTGTTTCTAGGAGCTTTTTAGTTAAATTCTTGAATCAGAAGGTAAGATTGAAGAGGAATGTAGGCAGCTTTCCACGTTGGTGGAAATACATGAAGCTGTAAATGGAACTATAGTTGTTTAATAAAATAATCACTTCAAAATTTAAAATTTAAAAAGAGTTAAAATACTGGTTTTCTTACCCAACTTTCTAGAAAAAGAACTGTAAACATGTTTGTTTTAAAAATGTTATTAATATTTTAAATCATCATGGTTATGTCACTTTAAACCAGTAGCCAAAGTTGTGCCATGTGTTTGCTTATTTTCCAGCCATGAGAAACCATATTGGAATAATGGAAAAGGAAGAATAAAATGTTGCATAGGTGCTGCTATTTTAAAAAGTTTCACTTACCCCCTTGCACTTTGCTGGATTTTGCATCTCGTGCCAGGAAGGTTTATGTAAATGTATATTTATCACGCCTCAGTGTGAAAATACTGACTTACTGCATGATTTTATAACTTCGTTTTTGATTTTAAAATGTAAGAGACGCTTGTTTATAAGTGAGGGGTAATCGGGGGCTGTTATGTTCAGTACAACCTTCTGCATATTTCAAAACCTTTATGGGCACCATTTTCTGTTAAGAAAAATCCATTTGGATTTCTCCTGTTAAAGACAAGAGCTGTGTTCAGAGCCAGTGAAGCCCAAAAGATGTCCAGCAGCAAAGAATTAGGCCTCGTGACAACCATTTAGGAAAAATGCATATTGAACTGTTAATGTTTTCTCCTATTCCAAATCAGGTGGTCAATGTTGGAAAACTAATCCACCTCAGAAGAAAGTTTGGGGCTTTGTGTCTTTTTCTTTACGGTTGCTCTTCACCCAAATGATTTTGAGTTGAAATGAGAGCGAAGGTCAAAATGGCAGGAATGCCTTCAGTCTGTATTGCTGAAGCTGTTTCAGCAGAAATGCTCTGTCAGCTACATGTAGAGGTTTTTTTCTGAGCCAAGTTTTGATGTGAAACTGGTTGTCTGAGTTGATAAAGGAAATAGGGTGCCTTGCACTGGGAACCCCACTGGAGGAGGAAATGTACATGTCAAGGCCTTTTCATTTATTCAGGCATGACATGGTGGCATTGTGGTTTTACTTAAATACTGTTTTTCTGTCCCTGTTTATTGCATTATACTTTCCTATGTGGTGAGTAGCACTAGGTAGCTTGCTTGCCTGCATCCAAAGTGATTTTCAAACATATCTCAAAATCAATATATATACTTAAAAAGTGTCAGTCACATTTGCTACCCTTAGTTTTGGGATTGTATTGTGCATATCTGTAGGCAGTGGGGAAGAAGGATACTATTCTAGAATACTAGACTACTATTTGGGTCACTGGACAAAACAAATAATGCAAACTTTTATGTCAGTTTGAAAATAGTTACATTAAATAGTACATGATGGTGAAGCATCCTGGGGTAATGCATCAGTATGAAACAACAAAATCCGTTGGCAAAATCAGCTCTACAAAGAATAAAAACCCACATTTTTTTACCACATAGCAACTAAGTAAGAGACAGACATTTGTGAAGCAAAGCAGTAGAGTGTAATGTTGGGGAAATGGGAAATTGAACATAACAAATAAAATTTTAAAACCTGTTAGTGGCACATCATGGTATGTTTTTGTTAGCTGGTTTGTTTTTTTTTTAATGAGTTGAACAATATCCTATTTTTAGTGGAAGGTCAACTTGAACTTTATTTAACAGAGTCTCTGGTTCTGAATAGAGATACGAACACTTTAAATGTGATAACAAAAGGGAGGGATTGGAGCCAGACCTTCTTGACCTATCCTTAGGAGCCCAGGATAACCATCCATGTAAGAACTGTGTGCTACTTAAATAGAGAGGGGTCCTTGTTCTGGGCTCAAAGTGCATGCAGTGAAAATAGCACTGACACTCATGTGAAAGGAATTTTTTTCTTTAAGAATTTGAAACAGATCCAAAAAATGTTGTTTGGTTTTTTTTTTTTAATAAAGTAAATATTTTTCAGTGCCTTAAATATTGCAAGTGTAGTTCTGAGACTAAAAACTTGCTCCTTGCAAAAATGTACCTGGAAGAAATGTTACCAACATAAGGTACTTAAAGTATTTCTTAACTAAGCAGTATTCTTTTAATTCTGCTGTCACTCACAGTGTTGTATATCCCCTAGAACTCCACTGAGCAGGGCAATGATTGAGTTTACTGGGAATGTAGCGGGACTGTTGTCAAGTTCTCAAGTTCCTGTGGTTAAATTTCAGAGGAGAAGAGTTTTCTCGCTGTGGCTGTAGGCTTAGGACCATAACAGACTTTTTTTGGATAGCTGTTGGTTGAAAAGCAGTCTGGCATGCCAGTGCAAAGTCACAAGTTGTGTAGCAGGCTGTAGGATTCACACTTCTGCTGGAGCAGCTCCTAGACTTTGGTGGTGTGTTGCAGCTGGAAGTGCCTGCACTCACCAAAGGCAGGAATTCTGCTGGTGTGTTTAAGGGACATGAAGGTATTAGCTGACCTAGGAATAAGAATACAAGTATCTGGGTAACCTTAACATAAGAGTATGGAAGAAGATGTTGTATACTTTAAATTTATAGTGTGAATTATATTCGAAAATGTTTTACTCTCCTTAGCCTGCTTATTGGCCTCAGTTAAAGAAAGTGGGATAAGGTGCTCCAGTGACTAATATGGTTTTATCCCAGCACTCTGTCCCTGATTCTGCCACTGGCATTCTCTGTGATCCTGGGTAAATAATTTTCCTTTTGTGGTTCTATTGCCTTTTGTGATATTGAAACATAACCTCTACTTGGAAAAGTGCTTTGATGTAATGCACTGTAGGAAAACTAGGCCTGAGTGTTAAACAAGGAAAAGAGAGAATGTTCTGAATGTTATAACCCTGGAAAAAAATCTTACTTTTTTTATCTCACTAGATATCAGAAAGTTTCCATGAGGCAAGTTTGTTGAGATGTTATGCCTTCTCCCATCTCAAATGTTATTTTTCAATAAACCATAATTAAACTTTTTCATACCATGAGGTTAGTCATGTGGATTCTCCAGTATCCATTCAGAACTAGGCTCATGCTGCTTTCTTTTCCTTGGTAGCTTGATTTTAAGGGAAGATGGACGACACTATTTATGCTGAGAACTGTGTTGAAGAACTTGGTGGAAATCCTATGTTCTTGGGAATTTCAGCTACTTTTCAGATGTGGATGGAGAAGGTAGACACAGGCAGAAGTGAAAGGGAGTATAGAAATAAGTGCTGTGGTTTTAAAGTTGTTTTCCAGGTACTTCACTGCAAATCTACACCTAAATGCAAAACCTCTTTAAATAAAGTAGCTTTCAGCTACTAAATGTTATTAATGGATCTGAATCTTGTCACCTTCTTCAATTTTGCAGTTTGTCTTTGCTTTGTGATGTCTGTGCATTAACATGGGCGTAATATGCATGTTTCTTGTGGCCAATGGTAAGAAGTGAGAAAGTCTGAGATGGCTGGAGGGTAACCTGACAGCTTTGTCTGGAAATCTAAATAATTTGGCAGGTGCATTGTAGGTTTTCCCTGGTATTAAATGGGCCAGATCATTCCCAGGTGTTGGAGATACTGCTCCATTCTGAGCCTTGGTCTGGCCCGCAAAGGACAGCAGGTCTTCAAGCAAAAGAATTGTATTGGGAACAGAACTAGAACATTTTAGCATTCTGAATATCTTATTTCATATGTTAGTTGGAGAATTAAAGAGAAATGCAGCAATTGTTTTTGTGGCTTCTCTGAAGTCTGATTTGCACTGGCTGTACTGGCTCTGTAGCAAAAAGACGAACAAATTCTATTCCCACAGTGCTGTTCATACTGATTGACTAAGCTGTATAAGAAATATTGTAATTAGGAACAAATAATAAAAAACATTCTATTACATATTCTCACATCTTGGAAATCCTCCAGTGCCCTCTCCTTGTGTATCTTGTTAAAAAACAAATCCAGACTACTTTGTCTTAACAATTTTTTCTAGTCTTCCCTGTTTTTCAGAAGCCAGTAAGCCTATATGCATTTTGTGAGATTGATAGGATAATATATTTTATGTCATTATAGAGTACCACACAATAGAAAAAAAACAACAGAGAAAACAGATTTGGTGCCAAGTTACTGGGTGAGAGCCTTGTGAATCCCTTTGCTGTCCAGCTCAGGAGCCTGAGAGTGAGTCATTGCCTCCAGACAGAAGTTGGCATACAACCAGAATATATGGGACAACAGTGGCTGTGCTGAAAATTCCAAGAATGATCATTAGAAATATGACACGTTTCATGCCATCTAATTGTTCAGAAGCTTTTGAACTCTTATTTTTGTTGACATGCTTGTGCCCTAGGATATAGCTTTAAGGATGCCCATCCCCCTGCCAGCCCTCCAGCAGCCACTGTGTCCTGTCAGTCATCCTGAAATACACTGGAGAGCTTGTCAGGCAGTCCCTTGCAGATGCCTCAGAAGCCCCATAGTGAGCCACAGCAGTTGCACTGAAGTTCCTAACCCAAGGAAATTATGTAGTTGCCTTAGTGCTGAATATGGACCATGTGTTTTCTAGGATAGGTGAGTGATATGCTGTTGGCTTTTTAATGCTCTAGCAGGAAATGGATTCTAAAGTTAAGATTTTCTAATTTATGCAGAATGTCTTTGGTCTGCTGTCTGACACTTATTATATCTGTATGCAGATGGTTTAAAAGCTGCAGGTGCTGTGTTCACATTGTCCTGCAGATGGATACAGACTCTGGCTGTTTTTCCAGTGTCTTTGACCACGTCTGATGAAAAGACAAAATCCTCCTGATGCTGAAGTTTGTAGCACTCGGTAGGAGCGTGCAGGTGGTTGCTTTTCTGGCTGTTCCGAGACGCAACTGTATCTTGTGACACATGCTTAACATCCTAAGTGTTGCAAGAGCTGCCAGTCTCCAGTGCTGAAATTGCCCACTGTAGAGGTTAATCTAACCGAGTGTGAGGTTATAGCACCCTTCTGCCAAAATATCTCACAGTCGAGCCCCCTGCTGTAATTAGGAGGCATATTATACTGGACTAGACGTATGCATTTCAAAAAAAAAAAAAAAAAAAGATAAATGGACTGCGATTCTCATTTTTTTCCTGAGGCAAACACCAGATTTTGTCATCTTAACGAGTGTGATCTGGAAGGACAGAAGTTCCCTTACTAAGTGGAAATATCAGAAAATATCCCAGAATGATCTTTATTCTACCTATCTATCTATCTGTCTGTCTGTCTATCTGTCTATCACCTATGATACTTACCTTGATTAATAAAAAGATAAATTAAAAATCAAAATTAAATATTGATTACCATATAGTGTGGTATATAGTAGTAAGGAGAGCCTTGTAGGTTAAAAGTATGTAGTCAAGGTGTCAAAATAATTTAAGATTTTGTAGTTTTCACTGCATTGTCTTACAAGATTGTTCCCACCTTTTGGCTACTCTAAGGAAGTTTCAGGAAGCATTAGAATTTTACTTAAAAAAAAAAGAAGACTGGAATCAGCAAGTGAGCCCTTAAGTGAGTTATTTATACCTTAGAATATAATTGAAATTCTCAGAGACAATAGTTTTTGCAATTGACTTTCAGTTAATGATGAGTTATGGGCCTGACTCAAGGCTGAAAGCTATTATTGGCTCAGCTGGCTTTTGAACTCAGGGTTCAAGCACAGAATAAAAATGCTGATGTTTGACAATATACTGAGGTTCAAAAACAAGCAAACAAACAAAACCCCAGAACAACCCAGAAAAGTCATGGCATGTAGATTCACATTTTTCTGTCCTGCAAAAATGGGGTTGGATTTGTAACACTTTCAAAGTTTGAGGCTGCTCAGAGGTGGGATTCTGTAGTGCAGTGATCTCTAGTAAGAGGAATTGGCTGTAACTGCAACTGTATTTTTATCTGCCAAATTTTATAGAAGAACTGATCATTGTAGATGACTTGTAGCATGGGAAGTTGTGCTGTGAGAATGGAGAGCAGCTCTGCTGCAAGCCGCAAAGATTTTATTTCTGTATTTTGAGTAAAGCAGTTGCCAACACCCTTCTATCAAGGAATTGAGAGGAAGCCAGTGCAAAGTTAAAGCATGAGTGCATCTGCAGAAAAACTAGCCTGAAAATCATCAAGTAATTTCTTCAGATCTCAGTAGAAGCACAAAGTACTGTCTCCAGCCAGTTCTTACCTGTTCCCTTCCAACTGATATATGAAAATTCACAGCACGATCAATACTATCTATTTGCAACTGTTGTGATGGATTTCAGGAAATGTCTGTGTACTGGAAGGCTCTTGAAAATGTCGAAAACAAGGCTTGGTAACCTTAAGACTTTTTTTTTTTCTAACGTGAATAAAAGGCAGTTTGAAATGTGAGCACAGATACGACTCAGAATTTACCAGCACTGCAGGACAATCCAAGGTGCACTCACTGTGGTTCTGTTAGGGGAGAGGCAAATAAATAGCAGTGCAGTTTGGAACTGAAGCTGAGGAGAGCAAGGATGTGAATGACAGACATTTATGGCTTTCAGAGCTAGTTATTAGTACTGCAGGGGAGAGCTTACTTTAACGAGTTGCTAATATTTGCTATCTTTAATTCCAGTGCTTGTGTGGAGGTCTGAGTGTTGGTGGGAACCTGGCTTCCAGGTTACTCATGGCTCCCTTGCTAGTATAGCAAATGTTGCTAGAAATAACTATATCTGTCTAGAATTTTAATCTACTTTGCAGGCATGGAACCTTTCTGAACATTCGTTGTTCAATGAAATGATGCAATTAATAGGTGTTAGTCCTTTGAGAGTGCATTTTGTACTAGACCTCTCGCTATTGGGGTTTACAGACTTCACATCATTATGTATTTAGAGTATTTCCAAAGAATTTTACAATTGAGAAGTTGGTTTTGGTTTTTTTTTTTTAGTTTCCAAGCATAAAGAACCAATAGGTCTTAACAGTAAGAATCACTATAGATAAAAAGTTGTTTTCTTTAAATTCATACTTGTGTGAGTACAGAGGGGCATATCTTTGGCCTGAGCTGTAAGAATGAGCCCTTGTTGCAGAGGTCAGCACACCAAGGTTATGTACACAATGTAAAGGAGGCAGGAGGTGTTGCGCTTCCATGGTGACCTAAGCTGTAGCTGTATGAAGCGCTCTGAGTGATTCTAAATCTGTCTTACAGCAATTGTTGCTCTAGACAGTAGATGGGGAGAGCCTGCCTTATGTCTTGCTTTGTTGCATATACAGTGGATTGTTAAGAAGCCACAGCCTGACCCACAGCACACGTGCTGGGCTGGATGGACTGTTGATGTGGTTCAGTAGGACGTGTTGAATGTGCTTGTTGATGCTTGTTGATTTTTGATGTCTCCTGTCTCTAGTGGTCTAAAATTCTGAAAACATTACTTAGTTTGGGAACAAAATATTTTGCCTGCTGAGAGCATGCCTAACCACCAGTCTCTGCAGCTATCCTGCCTACTGATTTATTAGACAGAAGGAGAACCACTGACACAGGTGATTTTGGGAGTCTCAGATTTTATCTCATTGGGGTTTTTTTCAAGTATCTAATTGCTGAATGTGTAAAAATCCACCTATGTAATTTGCTTTGATATTTCTGGAGTTCTCTTTCCATTATGCATTTCCGTGGAAGGAAAAGTGTCATTCTGATCAGTCTGATCTCAAGCTTCTCTTCTCTTCATCATTTGGCTTCGAATGAAAATGGTAAAGTCATTTCTCTGCATATGGTATCACCTGGCTGGATGCAGCTGAATCTGTGGGAACTTAAGTTTGCCACTAGTGCAGCTTGTAATAAAAGAATAAATTTGGCACTTGTGTAACCTTTACTAAGAATGGCAAACCCCTAAATTGCTTTTAACTGTAGTTCTTTAAGTATTGTTGATACTATCTTTGCTTGGAAGTGAAATGTGAATAACTCTTCTGATCCATTTCTACACAACTCGCTATAGAAACCCTCAACCTATTGTGTTGTATTAAATCAATGCTAGGTTCACTGGAAGGTGACAATATATCTCTTTAGCCTGCACAATTGCAGTGCTTTATTAGTTTATTATACAGCAGCAATGGCTGTAATAAGTCTTGCTTAAAAATGACAGATATCCATTATTTGTGTGTTTGAAGTCTTTATTGGCTAAAAAGGCTTTGCTGAGCTATGTTTTATGGGATGTTAAATTACTGCAAAATTTAAAATGTCTTCTTTATTTTGGGAAAATAATCAGTTGCATTCCAGCTAAAGCACAGTTATAATTCTCTGGTGGTACACACACATTTCAGGCTAATGACCTGAACCATGGCCCAGTGAACTCAGTAAAAACCCTTAAATTAACATCAGTAGACTTTGGATCAAGTTACTAATGAATGATTTATTCACTTTAAAGACCTTAGTTAGCTTTACTTCCATCTTATTGACTTCAGTAATAGACTTTCTTGACTTAATCTGTCTTGACACTTAGAAAAGGTTTGCTATTGCATGTTGTAAAATAACAAAATGTTTCACTTTCTCCTGCTATTAATTTCCAGTAGCTTTAAGGTCTGCTGTATGTTTTTGTTCTTAAGGTGTTTATTATGAATTTTTTTTTTCTTGAAATCCTAAGGCTGTTATGAAACAAATCCATATTCCCATAGGCAGTCTCTCTGCTCTGACAGAGGACAACGAGATCTGCAGTCATGGCTAATAATTACTTATTGCACTTTTTTTTGTTGTTTTGTACCTAGGTGCAATGTCAACCAAAATGCCAGACATTAAGCTGAAAATTGATCCTCGGGATCTGCAGATCCAGACGTTTACTGTGGAGAAATTACTGGAACCACTGATAATTCAGGTATTTTAGGATTGCAAAAAATAGGAAGGAGGGGAAGAAGGCTGAAGATCTTTGACTAAGGACATTATTATGAAAGGCACACACATAGCTCCTCTGCACTTGTTTACTCTGGCTCAGAGAGTGTCCAGGGGGATTCTTCCAGATTCGGTCACTGGTTTAGTCACTTCCGTTTTTGCCACACAGTGTATCATAGTAAATGTTGTATGTTCTAGCCGGGCTCTAGTGTTACCTAGGAGATGTCTAAATGTAGAATGCACTGCAAGTGGTTTTCCAGTGCAGGAAAAGTTTCATATTGTAAGTAGTGGACAGAGAAATGTAGTCATGCATGAGCAGGATTAATGTTTTCCTTTGCTCTTGTAATGATATCATTTTGACTGTGTATTCTGCCTCTACAGTGCAAGCTGTGTTGACAATGGCACACTATGTGTGCTTCTGTGTGGTTCAATTCTTTCTGTACGGGATCTGCATCAAGTTTTTGCATTTCTCATTGGGATTCTGTGTTAGAGAATGCAGAGGAGTTTTTCTGTTTTCCACAATCTTCCTGAACAAAGAACTGTCTATCAAATTTTGACTTGTGTTTGAGATCAGAAGCTGCCTCTGATATTTCCTCACAGTGATGCTGAAGATGAAGGGTCTTATAGTCAAGAGTGTTCACCTGCGGGAATGGTTATTTTTTTATTCTTTTCCATTTGTTTTACTTCCTTTCCTCCTCAACATATGAATGAACAGTGCATAGAATGACATTTTACATAAAAAAGACTACAGTAAAAATCTGAGAAATAGAATACGTTATTTTCTGGGAAATGTGATTAAATACTTGAAACACATAGAAAATATCTTTTACTTGATAGGTTTTTGGGGCAGCTTGTAATTTTTGATAGTGTTCTATGCCTTTCTTGTTGGAAGTATCAGCCTATAATCTCTTTAACTCATTCTTAAAAATATGACCATTGAAACGGCATTAAATGTTCTAGAACTGATATTAGGTGGTTTGTTAAAATAAAAAGTAGAACGATTCTTATTCCCATTGCATTCTCTTAGCAGCTGGCTGATTTATGTGCAATAAATAATTTCATTTTCTTCCTTTGAGCCACAGTCAGAAAAATACATGAGCCCTCTCTACCAATCTGAGCCAGAGTTATTTATGTTGCTGTCTCCCTTGGGACCTGCCAGAGCAGTCTATGTCAAGTGGATGGGCCATTTTCTCCCCTGATTTCACATGGATGATAGAGGGGCCAGGGCTTTTACCTTTCAAAGGCGTGTTTATAGAAATGTTTCCCAGAGGATATTTGTCAGTTACTTTTAAAAGTACAGGTTCATGAAAAGCACTCAAGTGCATGAATTCATGGACGAGATCTAAAGGTGAGCTAAGGCACAGATAGCACACTTATTTTGTACCTGTGCATGGAGCCTCCTTCACAGAGCAGCTCAAACTGCACTGCACTGCAGCACTTAGCTGAGTTTGCCTGCTGGCCTAAGAAATTCATAGTCAATTCTCTTGCTTTGCCCATGCAATACTGCTGCTGATTGGAATACCATTAATAAAATGAAGCAATTACATATGTATAAAACGTGTTCATGGAGCTCCAGGGTTAGATCTGTACTTAACATTATACTATCCATGCTTCAGCACAGAGACAGAACAGGAGGATTAAAAAACATCAGTGAACTTAGTGAAAATAAAATATGTTTTAAAATATTTATATAACACTTGAAAAAAAATCTTTTAGGAGTCTTTCTGCAGTGTGACAGCTCAGGCAATGCCTTTAGAGAATAGTGTTTCAGAAACATTCTGTTGGAGTGTGGAGGCTGTGCTCAGATGATGAGGAATGTGGAGTGGGATGCTCTATGAAAATAAGTTCTTTATGGATGTTGAAGTGCCCTGTTAAAAAATATAATTTGGATAAAGCTGCAGTATAACTACATTCTGGGCAAAATGATGTACAGTTTTAACATTGAGAACATACCAGCGACTTCAGAGGTGCTGAGCTCTGGCCACGGTGATACTCCCTTGTAAGAAGAGAAGGTGTTTGGAAAGATTTGTACTCATTTGATTTGTACTCATTTTGAGTATTTGTTTCTGAGATACCTTGGGAGTCTTAAGCTGGAAATATGGGAAGATTCAGCACTTTAGGGGGAAAAGGACCTGGGAGTGCTGTTGGACAGCAGCTGAACATAAGCCAGTGTGTGCCCAGGTGGCCAAAGAAGGTCAGTGAGATCCTGGCCTGGATCAGAAATAGTGTGGCCACAGAACCAGGGCAGTGACTGTGCACTGGTGAGGCCACACCTTGAATACTGTGTTCGGTTTTGGGCCCCTCACTGCAAGTAAGACACTGATGTGCTGGAGAGTGTCCAGGGAAGGGCAATGGATCTGGGGAAGGGTCTGGAGCACAGGTGTGAGGAGGAGCAGCTGAGGGAGCTGGAAGTGTTTAGCCTGGAGAAAAGGAGGTTCAGGGGGACCTTATCGCTCTCAAATCCCTGAAAGGAGGTTATGGCCAGGTGGGGGTTGGTCTCTTCTCCCAGGTAACAAGTGATAGAAAGAAATGGCCTCAAGTTGCATCAAGGGAGGTTTAGATTGGAAATTAAGAAAAATTCTGTCCCTGAAAGGAGCATCAAGCATTTGAACAGGATGCCAGGGGAAGTGGTGGGTTCACCATCCCTTGAAGTATTCAAAAAACATGGGAATGTGGTGCTTAGGAACATGGTTTAGTGATGGACTTGGCAATGTTAGTTTTATGGTTGGACTCTGATTTTGGAGGCCTTTTCCAACCTTAATGATTCCTTGCTGAAGCCTCCTTGGATAGCACCAGTAATTTCTTTTGATTATTTTGAGCAAATTTTAAAATAAGCAGTGTCAGGAGTTGGCACCAGAGATTTCCATTAGATGAGATGAGAGATATGAGATTTTTATTGACTTTGCTTTGGTCATACAGAAAGAATACAAAGATGTATACTGAACTTGCCTGTCTCTAAAGCAGAGGGAATCTACTTATTCTCAACTATATCCTTTTTTTTTTTTTTTGTTTGTAATTTGAGAACAATATAAATTCACTTATTGTAGAACTTACGCCATTATTGTGTTTTTTGTTTCTCTTAATTGTAGGTTACAACACTCGTGAATTGTCCACAGAATCCTTCTAGTAAGAAAAAGGGCCGTTCCAAAAGAGCTCGTGTCTTGCTGGCTTCTGTGGAAGAAGCCACCTGGAACCTGTTGGACAAGGGAGAAAAAATTGCCAAGGAAGCAGCTGTGTTTAAAGAGGAACTTCGTGCAGCTCTTGCTGATGTCAGGAAAGAGAGTAAGTATGTGATAAACATTATAGGCTCCACAAGGAATTAGTTTAACCATGTAACACTGGTGTCAAAGGGAAGGTAGGATATCCATGAGAAACATGTTTTGACGTGCAAATGTCTGAATTTTGTGTTGTCTAATTGTATATTCTCAGATACCACTTATAAGGAGCTAAAGTGTGCAAGCTGGGCCCCATTGTGGAAAAACACTTATATCAGTGGAAGTTTTGTTGTTGGAATTTTTTTTTCCAGTGAAGACAGGATGCCCTTTGGCAATTTTAGTGGCTCTTAAGCACAAGTTTAAGTTAATGTATGCTTTAATGCTCTTCTTGCAAAGAGCTGTTCACCCAAATCTGGCATTAAGGCCTTTTAGGGGAAAAAACTAAACCTGAAAATTTTTCCTCTTTTTTGCAGTAGTGAGGATTTCCTTTGGCAAAGCGTAATAGTCCTGCTGGGAGGTGTGTTTTGAGACCTCAGCTAGTGGGGATGGATTCTTTAGCCTACTGCAAGAGTCATCCCCTCGTGATAGAGCAGCTCCTCTTTGGTGGCTTTTACCATATTCCATTTTGTCATGGCCTATGTTCCCATTTCCAGTGAGATTCACAGAACAGGACTAGTTTTTATGATCTGCTGAGAATTTTCTTTCAGACTCTTTGTTGCTTTATTGATTTTTACTTTCCCCATGAATGCTCGGACTATTTGGGAGAATATGAAGGCTCAAATAAGTCAGATAATCAACATCCTAAATGTGTTCCTGCAGAAATCACAAGCTCAAGTTCATGCATGTTTTAATTCTGTCACCCTGCTCTCACTAACAATGTGATTTAATCAGTTTATTTTTTAAATTTATTTTATTTCATTTAGTCTTTCCTCCAGCTAGGGTGGTTTCTGAGTCTGTGCTGTTGTTCAGGGTAGTGATTACTGGCTCCAGAGATGGCTGTGGTTTAGAGTTTGATATATGCATGTGGTGTCTGAGATACCTTAAGGCCCTTTGTGATTAAAAGCATTATGACCAGCATGTGTCACTGTTATCTGTCACACTGATCAGCTGAGGCTTTTGAAAAATCAGTCACTTTGGAGTACTCTTAAAATGTTAGCCCATCCATTACAGGATGATAACACAAGGCAAGAATACAATATATAGCTTTGTATTGATTTTTATACGTAGATAAATTTAAAAATGTGAAATATTTTTATATTACTTATTGATTCTCAGCCAAGACCAGAGATAAATACAAAAATAAATAATACATAAAGTAGATTATATACACCTCATACATTTTAAAAGAATGGTAAGTCTGTGTTATCACCTGTCATTATGCAATGACAAATTGAGTGTTCACAACCCATCTCTCTATAAGGATTTGCCAAATGGCACAAGTCAACTTTAAGAAATTGTTGAACAACTTTAAAAAAAAATAGCAGTTCATTAATTTTGCAGATATTTTTAGCCTTTGAAGCTGCGTGTTCTTTTTAATTTGTGGTGCGCCTCATCATATGCAACTTCATTGCCTGTTATTCAAGGCACATTCTGCTGCTGTTGAATGTCTCCTGTTATTTACTTCAGGCTCTTTGAAAGGAAGTGGGTCATCAGCTATTGCATGCATGTGGTTGCATGCAGTCACCTGCCATGCATGGCAGAGATACAATATTTCATTTTCTGGGGGCTTACTTTTCTGTTGTGACTGGCAGGTATTTTTATTAATACAATTTTAAATAAATGAAGAGTTTTTGCCTGTGGTTCGAGCTTATATTTACTGTATAATGGAATCCTGAAACATTGCTGTAGATAATTTCACTCCCTTGTGAACCAGACTGTCAGTCCCAGAGTCTCACACCGACATCTGGAAAGAATAAATCCTGTCTCCTCTCCTCTTGAGTTTTAGCTTGTGTGACTCACTGAACTTGGTGAGTTGAGGATGCAACATGAAAACTGAAGCCTTACTTCTTTGGAATGTCAACCATCAATGTGAAAATGCTGCTTTGTTACTTCTGGTGCTCATTGAGAGAGATTCCTTTTAAGGGAGCGATAGACTATTTTTAAGCTGCTTCTGATGATCCTGAACGTTGTAATGTTTTGGAAAATAAAGGAGCAAATTAGTAGGATAAAAATGAACAGCAGTGATATGATTTGTTGTATTTAACTCATCTGATGCACGAGTGATTCATGGCCTTCAGAAATTGGAACATGTGTATGGCTTCACTGACCACAGTTTGGTCTTGACACTCAGTAGATGAGATTTTGGAAACTCAGATTCTGTTAGTGACCTCTGAAAGAAGGTGTTGCTATAATGAACGGCAGATGAATGTAACCTGAAGAAGTCTCATGTCTGCTTCCTTGACATCTGCAAAGATTTACTGAAGTCTTTGAGCTGGTCATTTTAATACAGAGGTCCTCTGCATTTTTCTTTGTTTCCAGTCAAGAAACTACTTTTCAGGCCTATCTCTATCCCCATCTTAATTCACCACCTTCTGGAACTCAGCTAAGTGGGTCAGTAGGAAGGTGTGTGGATGGTGGACTATGTGCATCATCCAGAAATCCACTAGCCTGGTAACTGAAGAACTGCCATGTTTTCCTGTTGAACTGGTTGGGTGAAGCTTTGTTAAAAGGTACTCATGTTCACATTTTTATTCTAAAATAGTGTGATAAACTCCAAGATAAGTATATTTAAAAATTCCCAATGGCAGATTTTATATGTATAGAGAATTTCAAAAGATTCCCTTCTGATTCAATGTACTGTGAAATAAGTGACCCCAGTGCAAAGGGGGTAAGAAGCATCGTTCAACCATGAATGCTTCTGACACTGAACATCAGCTTCTAATGAATGTTCTGATTCTGAGATTTAATCACTTTTAAGACAAAACAGCAGTGTAGTTTGTGTGCTGAAATGTTGTCTCAGAAATCTGACTTAAAGTCTAGCATCATACGCAGGATAATGAGTTTTTGCATTTCTGTGAAGGTGTGATGGTTTATAGTTTTCAAGCAGTTGCATGGGCATAGCTGAAATGCCATTGCTTACTGACTATATATAGTCAGAAACACAACAGTTGTTGTCTGCATTGTTTCTATCTATTGCAGTGCCAGTGTTTCTTGCCTTTAGCTGTTACCACGCTCAAGTGTGTTCCCAGATAAGCCTTTCATCACATATAGCAGTGAACTGAAAACAAGTTACTGGCTGGAGTTACATTTTGTGAGTCTTCAGCTCTTTAAAGGAAATTATAAAAAAAATACTTTGATATTTTGAATGTCCATCTTTAATGTCTTGATATTAAACAGGGGAGGCAGGAGTTTTATGGCATGGAAGGAACTACTGTTCACTGACAAGAAGTGGGGAGTTTAAGGACATTTACTAAAGGAAGGGTAAAGTGATCTTTTGTATTATATTCTTATTTGTCCCTCATCTTAAAAGTGAACTTAACTTTCTCATCCCACATTAAGAGGTACATGTGTGTGTTCTGCATCTAAGGGGCTTTAATTCTGTGAGACAGAACTTAGATATCAAATGGCTGAAAATAACCTGTGCTGTACATGCTTTTCATCAAACCAAGAACAGATGCCTTGTAGAAAAGCTTCTGACGTCACCATCACTGGATCAGGTGTCCCTGAGTGGGAAAGGGGGAATGAAGAGGTGCATGCAAGGCATGATGGGGGGGTGTGGTGGCTCTGATTACACATTATGAAGAACTGTATGAGATGTGGAAGTGGAACTTCCTGGTATGCAGCTGTGAAATAATTGCAGTGCAACAGAATACAGTGATGTCTGAGTGGGGTAAGACTGTGGCAGGAGAGAAATGTCCTGTAACATCTGCAGAAAGCTATTGTGGGGATCTGAGTTACCATAGTTAGTAAGTGTTCCATTAACCAGGTGGTGAGACCCCACCTGGAATACTGTATTCAGCTCTGGGGCCCCCAGCATAAGAATGCTATGGACCTGTTGGAGCCAGTCCAGAGAAGGTCACAAAGATGACCAGAGGGATGGAGCATCTCCTGTTAAGACAGACTGAGAGAGCTGGGGTTGTTCAGCTCGGAGAAGAGAAGGCTCTGGGGAGACCTTATTGCAGCCTTTCAGAACCTAAAGGGGAACCCGAAAGAGGGTGATTCAGATGAGATGTAAGGAAGAAATTCTTCACTCTGAAGATGGTGAGGCACTGACACGGGCTGTCCAGGGAACCTGTGGCTGCCCCATCCCTGGAAGTGTTCAAGGCCAGGTTGGATGGGGCTTGGAGCAACCTGGTCTAATGGAAGGTGTCCCTGTCCGTGTAGGAGACTTGGATCTAGATGATCTTTTTAAGGTCCCTTCCAACCCAAACCATTCTAGGATTTTGTATTATAAACCATTGTGGATTTTTTTTCTTGTTTGTTTGTATTTTTTTTTTCCTCTGAAGTTTGAGACTGGGAAGTTTGAAATACTCTCTTTTTACTGACTCTGGTACGTCCCTCCCTCCCTTAGTAAATGAGCTCCTTTTGACAACTGTGTTTCCCTGGAACTGTAAATCCACCAGCCTCTAATGGTGCAGTTCACAGGAGTGGGTGACAGGACTTTCTTGGCAATAATACCTCCTTGTGGGAGGACACAAGAATGGCATAAAATGCACTGCATTCCATGTGGATTTCACACTGCTGCAGCTAAAAATAAAAAAACAAATGAGAGGAGAAAGCCAGTTGTAAATACAAATAGAAGAGGGAGTAATGTGCTTAGATTTAGCACAAAAAAGACAATCTATTCAAAGAAATAAGAAAGCATAATTCTGTTGATCTTGCCTAAACCAAGAGCATGTGGCTGCTGTGAGCACGATGTTGAACAGTCCCTGAGGGTGCTCACTGCCTGCAGTGGGTGTGGCTGCAGTCTCAGCACAGACACAGCGCCTACCATCGGCTGGTGGCCCTGCACAGGCTGTCACCTGATTGCCAACAGGATTATGGTTGGCTTGTTCTGAAAGGAATTTTCCTGGAAGTTTTTGGATGCTTTTGGTGCTGGATTGTCGTGGTTTGAGATAATTTGGAGGGGGTGGAGACCTCAGGCAGAAATCTCCTCTCTTGTATGTAATAACCCCTGTTTCTCCAATACAGAGTATCGGGGACACCAAGTAGGCCCAGCTGTTAGTGAAACAATAACTCTTCAGCAAGAAGAATGCTGATAACAATACTGATAAAACTGAGTTAAACCAATCGATAAGGAGCAGGGCTGGGAACAGCCTGGTGACTGGAAGGACCTGCAAGACACCCCTTGGATTCAGCAATGAAACATGGTTGTTGCAATTTCCATGTTTACTCAAAGTGGTGCTCGTGGTCCAGATCCATCATGGTGGTGTGGAAGCCCCAGGTGGGCAGGGAAGCCCAAAAATTCAGAGTTATACTCGCTCGGGTTCAGATGGGAGCATCTGATGAGAGGGCACGGGCTTAAGCTCTGCCAGGGGAGGTTTAGGTTGGATATTAGAAAGAAGTTCTTTATAGAGAGAGTGATCAGGCATTGGAATGGCCTGCCCAGAGAGGTGGTGGATTCACCGTCCCTAAAGGTTTTTAAGATGAGGCTGGATGTGGCACTGAGTGCCATGATCTGGTAATCACAGTGGGGTTGGATCAAGGGTTGGACTTGATGATCTCAGAGGTCTCTTCCAACCCAGTTAATTCTATGATTCTGTGATTCTATGATCTCCAGTACCTCCCCTGGGCTGGGGAGTTTTACACTGGATAATGTAATACTGTGAGTCAGGGATACTTCAGGAGGCTTTGACACCTTCTAAAATGTTGCAGCTGGTTTGTACTTCAGTGCAACTGAGTCCATTTTGGCTGATTATGGCTTATCAACAAGAGATGAGTCCCTTCAGGCCAGGTGTGAATGTTCCAGGGAGTTAGCACAGTGGAGTCATCTGTGTAAGGAAAAAGAAGCACTACCCCACCTCGCAGAGTTTCATTCCAGCCGGGTTGGAAAAGACTTCTGAGATCATCAAGTCCAAGTTTGCAGCTTTCCTTATCTTGTTTAACACCCAGCTTGTGGCCTGAGGTGTTGGATGTGAAGGCCTTCAGCTCCTGGCCTGGGTGACCACTCTGCACATTGTTAGCAAAGCAAGGGGCTGATTGAGCCATTGGCAGCACCAGTCCAGTCTCTTACAAGCACCTGGGCAGTCACTGCAGGTGTCGAGTGTTTGAGACATTAATCATCAGCAGTTCACTCTCTTTAAAGAAGACAAAACACCAAAAACCCAAGGAGGCATATTTGGAGAAGAGAAAGGAGGAAAGGCAGAGATTTTTGTGAGCATGTGGATAAGTAGCAGTCCTTTGACACAGCAGTGGTTGTCAGTAGCTGATTAGCTAATGGTAGAACACCATTTACTTTGGGAGTCATCTGTGTGTGTGTGCTGAATAGAGTCTTGGAAATATCTGCCTGCCAATAATTGTGTAGTTATGATATATTCCTGTCTTTGATTCTTTGAATTGCTTTTCATTTGATTGTCTAAAATAGTTGAAATACTATGAATGCTGCCATCTTTCCCATTTTCTATTTGTGCCACTAAAAGGGCATTTTTTTGTGTTTTGTTGTTTGTGATAAGTGTAATTATGGAATAATATTCACTTGATGGAAATTACGATAAAAATGGATGACATTGCATCAGACTGTCATGCTGTTTACTGTGTTTTAAGAAAGGTCTCAACATGTTGTTGGAGCTGTAATTTTCTGCTGTTTGCACTTCTAGCTCCTATCTGCCTAGCCTGCATCTCATGCTCTGTTTAGGGTTGTGATTTTATACTTGTTCATCTGGCCATCCCAGTTTATGTCCAACTCATTTCTAAAGGGTTGGTTGTATTTAGGCCCTTCTGATTTTCTCTTTGCACACAGAATCACAGGATGGTTGAGGGTGGAAGGGCCCTCTGGAGGTCCTGTGGTCCAATGCCCTGGCTCAGGCAGGGCCAGCAGCCTGCCCGGGACCATGCCCAGTCAGGTTTTGAATATCTCCCAGGATGGAGACTCCACAACCTTCCTGTGCCCCTGCTGAGTCACTCTCAGAGTGAAAAACCATTTTCTGATGTTTAGATGGAATCTCTCCTGTGTGTCAGTTTGTGTTCATTGCCTCTCGCCCTGAGCAAGTGTCACTGAGCACCACTGAGAACAGTCTGGCTCCATCTTCTTTTCACCCTTCCCTCAGGTGTTTATGCATCCTGGTGAGATCCCTCTGAGTTTTCTCTAGCCTGAACAGTCTCAGCTCTCTCAGCCTTCCCTCCTATGACAGGTGCTCTGGTCCCTTAATCATCTTTGTGGCTAAAGGTATCTGTGTTGAAAGGGTACTATTTTCAAATTTTGGGACTATCTTCAGTTTTGAAGTGTCTCAGGTGCTTGAGAGATGCAAATCCACACAGCCATTGTCTTCTGGAAGGCACAGTAGCAGACACCTGGGCAAATAATCACATTTGTGGCCTGAAAAGATGTACTTCAGCCTAGTGTTTGTGGGAAGGGGAAAACATTACCTTAGAGATTTCTGAGGAGCCACTGTGCTGTCAGAAGGTTATCTTTTTTGTTCTCAACTTCTATTAAATATCCCTGGCAATAGTGCTGTCTCCTATCCTCAGCTGAGCTATATCTCACTTCTTTCCTGGTCTGTTCAGTTGCTAACTCACAGGCTCGCTGTTCACTCCAGTCTGGGCTTCTCACAACTGAGCGCTTTCACTCCTTCCTAATTAAGCAGTTCCTTTCCAATCTGTAGCTCTGCTTTCCCAGTCAGCTTTGTTTGGACTGTTTTTACTGTGCACAGAGACACTCGTGGCTGGCTATTCAGAGTCAGTTTTAGTGGCTTATTGACTATTGCATAGTGGGTAATGATAGTTGAGCACTGTGAATGTATTTATTAAAGTTGGGTGTTTGTTGTTGTTGTTAAATTTAATTTGCTAAACTTTGTGTTGAGGAGCAGTATACTGCTGTCTACTGGCACAGTCAGTAGCTGCATAGATTGCATATATTTCACGTGTTTCATGTCAGTCAGATGCTTGAGTCTGTGAAGTTTTCATTCCATGAACTTATATTTGTAAGGAGGAGAACAATATTTGATTCCCTTCTGTGATGAGGAATTATTCAATAGCAAGGACACCGAAGTACAGAGTAATATAACAAGCAGTGACTAGAGAAGTTTAACATAGTGCCCCTGGCTTTGTTGTATACAGTTCAGAGCAGTAGTGTGAAGGCCAAGGGAATTATTTCAGAATTAAATGATTCAGTAGAGCAGAAAGGGAACATCATTCAAAGTGTGGAACGTTCTGCATGATCTGTAATAATTGGCCTTTATTTCAAGGCGTTAGGGCAGCAAAGAGATGCCAAGTGACTTGCCAGCTAACTGATGGAGCTTTAACGATTTCTTCCCTCTGGGAGTTGCAATGCAGCCTAAGTATGTGTTCATCTTGCAGGTCAAGCCTTGAAGGTGTCAGCAGAGGCATTCACCAGCGATCCCTGCTCCCTGCCCTGCAGGCAGGCCGTGGTCCAGGCAGCGCGCTCCCTGCTCACAGCTGTCACCAGGCTGCTCATTCTGGCCGACATGGTTGATGTGGCGTATTTGCTGCAGCATTTGACTGTGGTGAGTAAAGTCTGGTTCAGCTCAGGCTCCCTTTAGCACAGGTCTGCTGATGGTTCTTCCTACACTGAAAATTCCTTCTGTACTTGAGAATTGCGGGTCTCATGCACATAATGCTTTGGCACTTGAGGCAAGTGTAGATTCAGGATGAGATTTGTAGAATGGACCAAAAAAACCAAATTCTTCTGCTTGTAACTCAACATACTTGGTCTGGGGAAGCAGACAGTTATCCATACAGTTGTATGTTAACTTCCTTTTATTTCTTATTTCCTATTTTCTTACTTGAATTGTATACCTTTCGGTGCAAATATGTTAGGTATTTGTATACTGCAGACAGAAGACTAGATTACAGTCCTAATGTTGGCAAAGCTTTAAAAAATTTGTGCAGTAGAAAATATTCTCTAAAAGTCACATAATTTTTTCACTCAAAGGAATAACATGTTTTGCAACTACATATCCCAACAGTGCTCTTTTGGGTCGTATTTTGTCCCTCTGGCTCCCTTTTTACAGAAGGGATGTCTTCTGTCTTCTGTCCCCTATAAAACTTACCAGTGGTTGTGTCCCATGTGAGCAGGCTTCCTGCCTTTTTTGAACACTGTGTTTTTCGTCTTGCCAGCACCATGCATCTGAACATAGAAATGTGTTGACTGAGTTTCTTCTCTGCCTGCTTATTCCATTCCATCTGGTGTGTGTCTTTGCTGGGAAGAGCAAGGAATTGTCCTGTTTTCATTTTCCTTTCCCATCCTCCCCAACACCTTTAGTAATGTCTGAGAAACTGATAATACAAATTTTTGTTGACTTCCTAATATTTCAGGGCAGAGGTGAATAATCAGTGCCCTTTCTAATAATGCCTCATGTCACAAGAGGACCCACTGACATAAAGGGGACCATGTTGAAGCAAGTTCGGTTTAGTGAGGGCAAGAGAACAAAAATTTGGCTCCAGATCAGAGCAGGAAAAGTATTTCATAATAAAGCAATGTTGTATGGATTTCAATACTGTGCTTGAAAGATCCACTGCTGACAATTGTTAGAGATGCAGTACAGGCTAAATAAACATTGCCTTGCAGCAGCTTATATGTTGTTATACAGGTATTCAATTTGTCAGCTGTAAGAGAGGTGGCCTATGTCTTTTGTACTCGTTGTGGAAAATTTTCTTAAATTATGATATTTTTCATTGGTAACCTATTGGATTTTCACATACATATTTTGATAATGCTAAATACACCCTTCTAAGATAGTCTCAGTATGTTTTACATGAGAGAATTAAAATTATATAGTTTTCTTTGCTTGAGTTTCAGTATTTCCAAACAGCTCTATAATTCACATCAGAATTTCCATCTGAAAAGGAAAACAAATAATAACTGAAAATTATGAAAGAACGCAAAGTATCATTCAGGAAAAACTCCAGCACTGCAAAGAGTGCAGTTAAATTGTCATCTTCCCCCATACTTTAATTCAGTTCTCCCAATAGGAGTGAGAACTGAATTTGTCAATGAACTCCTAGAATAAATTAGTGTGGCATAACACTCTCCATCATGCCTGTCTAAAAAAACTGTTACATTTTCCATGTTTATTTGTCTCTGCCCTTGCTGTTGAACTTGCCAACAGTGGTACTGCCTGTAATGGTGTCTTTTCATGTTGACATCTAATTAGGAAATCGACTCAGAAGATAATTTCAACATATGCTATTAAACATCTTTCAGTTTCTAATGACTTTTGGTCGTGGCTCACTGAGCCAGATTTGAATGCAATTAAATATTTTAATGAATTTCAACTTGGCTCTTTTCTAAAGCCTTAACTTAAATCATTATACTTTAAAACTCCCTGAGGAATTCAAATTTTCTTCAATGTGGACTTGCTCCAGCAAAAAGACATTGTGTTCACACAGAGACTGCAGTGTGAAAGGAGACCTTGTCTTTGCTGTATCAGCTCTAATACTCTTGATTTTTGCATGTTCACATGCCTGTAAAAGTCATTAGCTGTTTTTCTTTGCATTTTTTCTGAAATTTTAATACTTCTACCATATTATCCTCTTCTTCAGACATGAGTGTTATGACTGTGATCATTTAAGAGATGAGAAGTTTCATTGCCTTTTGTTTCTACATCTCTGAGATCTATAATTTTCATAGAGTAAAATTATATTATAAAGGACTGAGCTAAAGTTAATTTAAAAAAAATTAAAGGAAATAAAGGAAATAACAGTAGAATAAAAGACATAATTCTAACCAAGGAACTTTTTGCTTGCACGTATAAAATGAAAAAAAGTAATTCAGCATCATCAAAGAACCCTGTAGAGTATTAATTAGATCTTACTCAGTATAAAAGTATTTTGAAGGGCATTATCTATTTATGTATCTAATGTATTTTATTTATTTAATAATCTATTTATTACCTATTTATGTGTCTAATGTCAGTTAGCTCCTACCAGTTTATGTGGCCTCTAAGAGTATTGTTTTCTGGACATTTGACTTGGGCTTTGGACTGGTTTTGACATCTGTGTAATAAAGTCTTCATATAAAACAGAGTATAGTGCTGAAAATGCTGAATATTTTCATCACAAAACCACTGAAATGTGACTTTTAAAAAGTAGAAATAACAAGTCAGTCAGTTTGAAAGAATTTGGTAATCCTGGCAGGAATCTCATTCACATATTCATAAACATACCTTTGTTAACAAGAACTGAGCCGTTCGTAGTAGTTTCACTAAAAAAGCAGAGAGAATTTTGGCTGCTTTATGAATTCTATAGAATCTTCACCAAGCAAGGTGTGAATGTGTGTGTAAATGATGCATTTAAGATGCCAGTACAAACTCTCCATGACTGATCACATTCTGGCACAGTCCAGTTCTGGCCATTTGTGGAATTTACAGCCTTTTAAGAGTATGAGAGTGCAGTGCAAACAGCAAGATCATTTTAGAGTTCACTGAGGAAATAAAAGTACATCACACTAATAAGAAAGGTTTTGCTCCTTTAAACAACTACAATTTTTTTTTTTAAACAGGGAAGAGTTTAAATAAATAGCTGTTTGTATCTAAGTTTCCATACCTAGTGTAGAGTTTGAAATCTCTAATGAAATAACTGAGTTGTGAAAAATGTAGTGAGACATAGGGCTATCTCATTGCGCTCTTGGATTCAGAGCTGTATTACAGCTCATTCATTATGGTTAGTAATGCTCGATATTATTTAATTAAGTGAATTAACAGACTAATGGAATTGCTTGAATTTATTGATCAGAAGAGAACAGCAAGAAGATAACAAGTTTGGAGAATTTAATTCAAAGAGCATTGGCAGTCTGTCTTTCTCTAATTGGTTTCAGATCATGCTGAGCCAACATGTTTTATCTGCCTCTTCCCTCTTCTTGTCATGCTTGTAGATTTACTGTTTAAGTCTTCATATTTTTCATTAAAGCCTCAGACAGCATGATCTTTATAAAATACTTGGTTAGAGTTGCTTTAAAACTCTTGCCAAGAAATAAAAAAAAAGAGAATGGCTAACAGATAAGAAGGAACTTCCGAACTTGGGCCCTGTGAGCATAGTGCTGCCTGTTCCCCCCTTCTAAAAACAGCTTTTAAAGACTGAGGCGAGGAAAGCATTAAGTCCCTCAGACTTTTCCTCATGCTTTGTCACTGTGTCCCTCTGCATCCAATAGAGGATGGAGATTCTCTTTACCCTTCCCTGTTTTGCTAATGTATTTATAGAAACCTTTATTACTGTCTTGTATGGCAGTAGCCAGATTAAACTCTACCTTCTTTACGCATTCCCAGTCCCATCACAAGAGAAATCTCTGAACATAAGTGTTAAGAAGGTGACAGGAGTTTTTTTGGAGAAGATTTGGCTTCTCCTTTGGTTTATACTCCTATTTATTTTGTCATCAATCAACAGAAACGGATTCTTGCTCCTAATCAGACGTTGGTCTATAGTACATGGGATGCAGTTGTTTTTAATCAGGGCTGCAGTGGTTATTGCACTTTGCAAATTCTGTGGCACTTTGTAATGTGCAGTAAATAACAGAGAAAAAGCAGCTTCCAAAGAATTACTTTCAAGAGTTAGGCTTTTCAGAGTGTCCTTTTGAGTGCAACAGGAACCTGGATCCACTTCTGTGCTTGGCACAGGAGCCTCTTGGCTGCTCCTTTGTAACTCGTAACAATAAATCATTGTCAAGCTGCGAGATGATAAATTCCAGATGAAATAAATGAAAACATAAAGCTTGGGGACACCTGTGGCACAAAGGTGGTTGTGGCACAGGTTAACATGCAATACTTGAAGTTAGCAGCAGCACAACTGAGTGTGAGGAATCCATACTGTGTCTGGTGATGAAGTTTGAAAATTATTTTGGGAAAGTTGGAAGGTGGATATTAGGCAAGCAGAGGCCTATTTGAAATAATTACTTGGACTGTGCCAATACCTGCATGCTCCAATCAGTGATTAGGACTCCATTGCAGTAGACTCTTGGAAGCAGTCAAGGAAAGAACATTGCTAAATGGTTTCCTTGAGTGTTTATTACTGTGTTTTGCTTCTGCAGCAAACAGTTACCACTGAAGTGTGGTACTTACAAAAGAATAATATGGAAGTGATGTGCTGAAATTTCCTTCTATAGAGTGCTAATATTGGAAGGCAAATTCCAGATTGGGAAAATAATCTTGGGAAATCATCATGGCACATTATTTATTGGCAATGAAGTCAGTAGAATGGCTTGTCTGATCAACAATCATTTGTGTCTCAAACGCACACAGATTATTCTGATCTAGAGAAATTTATTTTGTAACTTGTTCTCACTTTGGGATGCAGAAATGAGGAAGTGAATGCAGAACAAACAGTGTCTGTTTTATCATCGAAATGCATGTCTTCAGACCTTCTTAAAATGAGAGCAAAATCCTCTGATGTTTTCTGAATGGAAAAAGCTCTGTGAACTGCTCTCCATAAATCTCTCCAAAGGAGGCACGGTGCCCATTCCATTACAGCAAAATACGGGGAGAGCAACTATTTTCTCCTAAATATGTATGTT